GAGACATCACACATCCCCGCCTGGAATGATACAGTTTGTTGAGCCAACTTGGTCAGAAACCAGGGGCGGATCTAGAGGACTAGAAAAGGGGTGGCCTGGGCCCTCATTTAAAACTGATTGACCATCCCTGGGGCCACCCACAAATTAGAAACTATTAATCAGACATTGGGGCTGTAATTCATGTAGCTCTCTGTGCATTTAGATGTCACACAATCTCTTAAACTAGTACCGTAGTCGCATAGAATTGTGATAGATTAGCATGTTGTGAGTCTAAGGCAAATCTACTGTCATTTAGAGCTTCTACCTTCTAAAGGTTTCTCTCGCCTGAACAGGGACTTGAACCCTGGACCCTCAGATTAAAAGTCTGATGCTCTACCGACTGAGCTATCCAGGCTCTGTTAAGACTAAATAAGGCATCAATTTTGGCGTGTCATGTCATCGTGTCAAGTTTGCTGAAGTTTAGATCAGAGTTTTTGCAGTTTTGTAGTTTGATGGACCTCACCTACTCTCTTCCAGCAGCTGCTTGTTTGTAGCGTGACCTCAGGCAAGTCCATTACAGACTACAGCGGGGTGACACAGCTCAAGGAAGAACATTTATGATAATTTCCTTGAAGTAATAGCGTCTCAGTCTGATTGCATTTCCATGAGGAAATGATATATCATGAAATATCCCTTTAAAGCAGCTGGAAAGCAGTCAGGTTGACAGCAGCACATGGGTTAGCATTTAGGGGTTTGGCACCAGGAAGTGAGCTGGTACTACCTGCACCTATTTCAAGTTCTTGGTCATGTTTGTACAACTTGATGTAGTCTGCTGCTGCTGTCATTTAAAGTTTCTACCTTCTAAAGGTTTCTCCGCCTGAACAGGGACTTGAACCCTGGACCCTCAGATTAAAAGTCTGATGCTCTACCGACTGAGCTATCCAGGCTCTACATAGAATTGAATAACGTTACAATTTGTCCGTGTCAAGTCATTGTGTCTTTTATTAAGTTTGCTAAAGCAAGCATCAGAGTTTTTGCAGTGTGGAGTAACATCAGGTCCTTGTTTTGTAGTTTGATGGACCTCACCCACTCTCTTCCAGCAGACGTTTGTTTGTAGTGAGACCTCATACCAGTCCATTATGGACTACAGCGGGGTGACGCAGCTCAAGGAAGAACATTTATGATCATTTCCTTGAAGTAATAATCATCATTTTAATCATTTTGCACTGCAGACATGGTAGTTCTTCTGCATTAGAGTCTCGGCCTGATTACATTTCCATGAAGAAATGATATTTTACGGAATATTCCTTTAAAACAGCTGGAAAGCAGTCAGGTCCACAGCAACAGGATGTCTGCAGCAGAGACCCAAAGGAACCTACAGGATAGTGGACCTCATAGGCCCTACTATAATAGGACATGATGGTTCAAAAGTATGTTCTCTAAAAAAGGACAAAATACTCAAAAACAGAACTTAAAAAGAGACAGTATGTCAGCTAGCTAACTAGGTAGCAGATGGATTGGCGTTGTGGGGTTTGGCGCCAGGATGTGAGCTGGTACTTCTTGCAGGTATTCCAAGTTCTTGGTTGTGCAAGTACTTACCATTGAGACGTCTTGATCTCTTGTACTGAGTTGCTCCTATTGTTTAAAGCTTTGACTTCTAAAGGTTTCTCCGCCTGAACAGGGACTTGAACCCTGGACCCTCAGATTAAAAGTCTGATGCTCTACCGACTGAGCTATCCAGGCTCTGTAGTGTGATGAAAAAGGTGTGAATTTGGGCATGTCAAGTCATTGTGCATTCTATTAAGTTTGTTCAAGCAAGGATCAGAGTTTTGGCAGTGTGGAGCAACATCAGGTCCTTGTATTGTAGTTTGATGAACCTCACCCACTCTCTTCCAGCAGACGTTTGTTTGTAGCGAGACCTAAGACGAGTCCATTACAGACTACAGCGGGGTGACGCAGCTCAAGGAAGAACATTTATGATCATTTCTTTATCATTTCCTTGAAGTAATAATCATCATATTAATCATTTTGCTCTGCAGACGCAGTAGCTCTTCTGCCTTAGCGTCTCGGTCTGATTGCATTTCCATGAAGAAATGATATTTTATGGAATATCCCTTTAAAGCAGCTGAAAAGCAGTCAGGACGTCTGCAGTAGAGATCCAGAAGAACCTGCAGGATAGTGGACCTCATAGACCCCCCAGAAAAGGACATGATGATTCAATGTTGTTTTTTTCTAAAAAAGGACAAAATATTCAAAAACAGAACTCAAAAAGGGACAGCAGGTCAGCTAGCTAACTAGCACATTGATTAGCATTCTGGGGTGTGGCACCAGGATAAGCTGGTAAGGCTCACAGGTATTCCAAGTTCTTGGTCACGCTAGTACTTACGGTTTATACAACTTACTGTAGTGTACTCAATTGTTTAAAGCTTTTACCTTCTAAAGGTTTCTCCGCCTGAACAGGGACTTCAACCCTGGACCCTCAGATTAAAAGTCTGATGCTTTACCGACTGAGCTATCCAGGCTCTGTATGGAGTTGAATAACATTTTGATTTCGGCGTGTCAAGTCATTGTGTCTTCTATTAAGTTTGCTGAAGCAAGGATCAAAGTTTTGGCAGTGTGGAGCAACATCAGGTCCTTGTTTTGTAGTTTGATGGAGCTCACCTACTTTCTTCCAGCAGATGCTTGTTTGTAGCGAGACCTCAGGCCAGTCCATTACAGACTACAGTGGGGTGACGCAGCTCAAGGAAGAACATTTATGATCATTTCTTTATCATTTCCTTGAAGTAATAATCACCATATTAATCATTTTGCACCTCAGACGCGGTAGTTCTTCTGCCTTAGTGTCTCGGTCTGATTGCATTTCCATGAAGAAATGATCATAAATGTTCTTCCTTGAGCTGTGTCACCCCGCTGTAGTCCATAATGGACTGGCCTAAGGTCTCGCTACAAGCAAGTGGCTGCTGGGGGAGAGTGGGTGAGTTGTGTTTAGTCTCTTTGCTAAAGAAATTAGACAAAGTTAAAAAGATGTTTGGTGGCTACTGCTATGGCTAGGACCCTAGATGTACTGGCTCCTCGGACCACTTTGTACTGCTATTCAGCCCCTTCCAGAGCCTGGATAGCTCAGTCGGTAGAGCATCAGACTTTTAATCTGAGGGTCCAGGGTTCAAGTCCCTGTTCAGGCGATATAAATCTTTAAACAATAGCGGTAGCTTCTTACATGTTGACAGGCTGATAAGTACTGACATGAGCAGGAAGTTGGATAAGAGCCAATATACATCCTGACACTAAACCCCAAAATGCTAACCAATGTTCTAGCTCGTTAGCAAGCTGATCTGCCTTCTCTAATTGAGTTGTTTTTTGATCATTTTGTCCCTTTTTAAAAAAGATAACTTTGAATCATCATGTCCTATTTAAGTCGATCACCACAGTCTTTTCTGGGGGGTCTATGAGGTTCTTGTAGGTTCCAATGGATCTCTGCTGCAGACGTCCTGCTGCTGTGGACCTGACCGCTTTCCAGCTGCTTTAAAGAGATATTCCGTAAAATATCATTTCTTCATGGAAATGCAATCAGACCGAGACACTAAGGCAGAAGAACTACCGCGTCTAAGGTGCAAAATGATTAATATGATATTAATGCCACCCCATCCATAAAAGTCAAGAACCACCCTTGACATTAACATGCGGCTAACCTTAAAATAGCATTTACAGTGTTCATTGGCAAAAGTTATAATGCACAAGTTTTAAATTTGATATAACAGAAACGTGTCCCAGAGACAGAGTATTGAATACTGGATCAGCTCCGGCCTCTCTGAGGTCTCGTCTGTATTTTTAGGATTGGTGTCAGCATGACTGTGAGAGGTGTCACCCTGCCAATTTTTATCCAGGCTAAAACGTATCAAAATCTATCACATAGACCATCATGAGAACTCGTACTGACATTTATGTTCCCCTCAGGATGAGCCCTGCTGACGTTGGGGAACCCCTGACGGTTCCTCTTGCCAACACTTTCTCAACCTTATTTGTCAAATATGGGACTTTGCTGTGCTGTGACCACGGTAACAGTTTGGCTCTTACAGGACTCCATGGTCATACCAGCTATGGATAATGACTGTTATCTGGTTAGAATCTCAATTTTAATTATTATTGTAGTGATCGAGGTCTCTGTTCGACGACCAGCCTTAACCCTTCAATGTTTGTCTTTCCCCACTGTTTCCTCACCCCATGGCCCGTTATGTTTAAAGTTATAACTTTTACAACTTTTACTTGTGGTTACCATCGCATGAGACGGATCATGACTTGAGTTAAACCATGCTTGTATGCTCTCTAATGCAACAAGAACTAAACCCCTGGGTAATGTCAACAATGGCTACGTTTACATGCATTTGAATTTCCTTTTGGGGATCAATAAATCTATTCTTATTCTTATCATATTCTAATGCAATCATTAACCCTTTCAAAACTGGAATATTAGCAATAATCCGGTCATGTAAACACCAATAATCCTTTAGAAAAATCAGAATCTGCTCATATTCATGTTTTTAAAAACCCCCAAATCACCCCTGGGTTAGTCCTATTCTAACCAATATTTGGTCATGTGTGCGCCTATCGGGATATTCCCATCAAAAGAAACATTAAGTTAGGGTGACCATATTCTGAATCCTCAAAAAGAGGACACGACTATCCAGGGTTTTTCGAGTTTTTCGGGTTGGGTTAAGTGTTTTTTACGCGCTTCTAACTCAGTCCATGTGACACAAACTCAAAACTTCCATACAAAACCCTGGACATTTGACGGATTTTATAAAACTTTTAGTAAACTCTCCCCCCAGACAAGGCCAGAGAGCCCTCAAAAAAGAGGACGTGTCCGGGTAAAAGAGGACGTATGGTCACCCCACATTAATTTGTGTTCTGTGCATGTTCTGTTCGCAAGGAGTCTTGGTCTTTTGAGCACAGGAGGAGGGATACAGGAAGAAGAAGTGGAAATTATGCACATTGCGCCATGACGTTCTTCTTGGTACATCGAGATGTTGTCCGTGAGTCGCTGTTTTGATCGGGATACCATGGAAACAGGAATAACCCTGTTTGTCATGCATGTAAACGGAATTCGGAATGTTTCAGAAACCGGAAAACAAGACCTTCAACCGAATATTGACCGCATGTAAACCAGTGTTGTTTTCGTTGACGATGACGTTGACGAAAATATTTCATCAACGTCATCGTTAACGAAAACAACACTGCAGAATATATGTTTAGCGTTTGACTGACGAAATGCTCATGAACTTTGCAACTCTGTTCGTCGTCCACCACTTACGTTTTCGTCTAGTCTGATCTCGTTGACATAAACGCACATTCGTCTCGTCACATTTTAGTCATCTAAGACTTATGTTTAGCTCGTAAACGTCACATCTTCGTCGTGGAAAAAAAGGGGCGTTGACGAAACAACACTGATGAACACATAGCCAATAGAGTTCTTGGATCTTTCAAACCCTGGTCTCAAAGTCTCAAAGTGAGGCATCTAAAACAAAACAAAAAAACAACAACAATGTACGCAGCAACTAAAAGTAGTACCATACAAATTACGTTTGAGCGTAAAGTTGATGTGCTTTGCATGAAAAAATAAAGTTTCTAACCATAAAGAAAAACAGCATCAGCCACCATTCTGACGACAAATTTGACCCAGAGTCGATAAGTCATTTCCATATTGATGTTTCAACTTGAGCAGACATCAAATAGCATTTTCTAACCCAGAGTCTTCTAGTTCACCCTCCTCCATGCATTTAGTTTCTTAAATTAGTTAAAGCTCGCAGACTTTTGATAACACTCTCGGGAAATGAAAAGTGAAAACTTCAACATCAATTAGCATATGCAAATTTGGCCCGTGATCCCTCGGGGTGATTTCCTAGAAACTTTCAGGGAACAGCTGCTGCCTTTGGAAAGTGTAAACAGCTCAATCAATAGATGGAAAATGTTCTAATCAACATTTTGAAAGTGACGGTCCCAGAGTGTGTGAGCTGTCCGAGAGCCTGAATCAGTTTACAGGAAGTGTTCCCCAAACAAGGATGAGGACTGTAAACTTCAGGCACTCGAACCGAGTCATCGGTTCATAAGTGTCACTGTCATCATTGTTCAGAAAGGCGGGATTTCACAGTTACACACAACGGGGAGTCCACAGAGGCCGGGGAATGACAGTAAACAAATCTGATTGGACAAAAGAGTGAGCAGGAGAATGATGGCGGCGTGATCAGACAACAAACAACATCTGGAGCTGCCAAGGCATCGACAAACGCAGCAATTAGAAGAATTAAAGAAGGAGGGATGAGCGCTGGCAGGGACAGTCACACAGATCTGATCGGAAAGGAGGAACCATGACAAGGGATTAGGATACTGAGGGGGTAGTTATACCTAGACCCCAACTTATAGCGCGCTTCCTTGGTGCCACTTCTGTTCCACATTGTTGTTTAAGAGAGTCAAGTACCTAAAGCTCCTGTGAATATCTCTCTATTGCTGATGATTTGGCGCCCCCTGTGGACAAATCTTGCCCCATACATGCCTCAAATCATCAGATCATAGAGAGGCATTACTGTAAACTGTGAGATAAAACTACTTAAAGAAGCTTTTAGATGTAAATATGGGACCCCAGTTAGCTCTGTTTTTAGAATAGATGCCCCACTAAGGGAACAGTTCTCTTTGCACTGGTTGTATAAGATCAGTTCCTGGTTCTGGCGTGTACATCCACATTTTCTGACACTTTTAAGCTGCCCTTTAAAGAACAGCTCTCTCAGGGATCTAGAAAAAGTTGTTCCAGTCTGGATGCAAAAGAGAAAAGGATGCAGTTTGAATATTTCATATATTTGGAGTTCTTGTAGAGCAGTGGTTCTCAACTGGTCTCACTCTGGGACCCACATTTTCCCATGGTCCTTAAGTCACGACCCACTTTTATAGAATTCAAACCAAGCAGATTTATTTTTTATATATAAAAAAACTTAAAAGACTCTGATCTTTAACATAAATCCACTTGTTTCATTGAGTAAAGTGCATTTCAGAGCACATGAAGGGGACAACATGAGGATGACAACTACCGAAGTTTCGTGTACAGAAAATATCAAGATCTAATAAATATTGCATTAAATATTTACTTTTTTTGACCAGCTGTTAGTGACCCATCCAGTCCTAGACCCACTTGTGGGTTGGAACCCACCAGTTGAGAACCACTATTGTAGAGACCCCCCCCCAAAAAAAGGGGGGCAGGAAGTGTTTTGGGGGGCCACCAAACAAAATCTTTCTTTGGGCCACCAAAATCCACGAGCCGGCCCTGCTCCAAATGTATATAATAGCAGCCGAAAACCTTTAAACTCTCCCAAATTGAGCCATAGTTTTTCTCTTTGTGTTTGTCCCATCCCTTCTACCTTTCCTTAAAGTGGCCTGTGGCGCCACCCAGTGGACACTCTGTAACTCACATCTCCTCACCTGTTTGAAATTTAAAAAATAATGATGGATGCAGCAGTCCAGAAATAGCTCCTACAGTAGAAAAAAAAAGCTCACTGTGCGTCAAAGTCCAGTTCCGGCTTTGTGACGGTGTTAACAGCTTGAGGACTGTGATTTTTATAATGTGGAGCCTCATTACAGACATGAAAAGAGGTTTAATTAGCATGTTAGGAAACTTGTCTGTTAATACAATGTGGTTTTTTTAAATAAAAGGGTAAAATAGAGGAGTGACTTTGGAAAGGGAGGTAAATATTGGTGGGTTTAAAACACTTTCAGGCTAATTTGCATCTTTTACATGTTAAATAGAGTTAACCTGTTGATTTTGGAATATAGACCAATGAATATAATCAGCTGGTGATTTTGCCATGTTGAAGTTTGGGTGCTAAAAATATTCAGTATGTCTCATTTTGACGGAAACGCCCTTTTTCTATTGTTTTCTAATCGACCCAAAGTGGTGCAGTATTGAGGATTCTTCCATCTCGGTGGCATAATGTGGTGTGGTTTGTGAGTGAGTGTGTGAGTGTGTGTGTGTGAAGAGTGTGTGTGTCAGAGTCAGAGAGGCGGGAGGGGGAGTGGTGGGGGGGCACCCACAGTGTCTCTGGTGTGACTGTGTATCACTTCAGATGCTCAGACAGAATTAAAAAATGCGCTCCTCCGCCTTGTCACCAGTGTTGTGCGCATTTTCTTGACGAGCCCCGCGTTCTTTCCCACAGCATGGTGCTCGGACTCGGCGGGCTCACACCACCGCTCTCCTCCTCGCCACTGCGACCGTTAAAAAGTCACGCGGACGCCTAATTAAGACCGCAAGAGCACGCGCAGCACCTGTCCTCCCCACCTTCACAGCAGAAGGTAAGTTCATCTTTTCTCAAAAATAAAACACGAAAAAAGCGCGGTTAGAAGTGGAAGTACGCAGCCGGGAGTTTCCACGAGAGTTTTCTCATGCCTTCTGGCTACAAGCTGCTGTTTCTGTATTAAGATATTTTCTCCTCCCTTTGAAGGTTTCTTTCTATTCTCAAGTTCAAAGCGCGTTGGCGTTTGTTGTTTAACGTCGTTTCCGGTCAGCAGGGGACGTCTTGGTAAACAATGCTGCTGGTGATTCATGCATATGTGACATTCAAGCTCTGCCAATTAATCAATTAGCCATCAGGGCAGAGCTGACAGGCGGACTGCAGCTCCAAAATGTGTCATCGTTTCCCTTCAATGAGTTTTTTAGTGAGTTTCAAACCAAGTGTAGGTGTTCAGAAGGATCTAATTATTGGCAGACAGGTTTGTGCTCTTGTTGTGAACTGGCAGCTGGCTCGCTTTCAAGTTTAAGGCTGCACATTTCTGTTTTTTTAATCCAAGAAGAAACAAAATCAAAGTTTGAAATCCTCCTAAAACAATAGCAGAAGTTTGATTTCTGTTCCTCTAATGTTCCTCTTAATGCACCTGTGTTTCTGCACCTCTCCACCAGCCAGAAACACGTTCAATTAGCCACTCAGACTTTTATTTTTGATCCCTCGTCTCCCCTCTGAGGGCAAAGTGAATGTAATCTCACACCATTGGACTGTTACATAACTTAAAAAACTGAAGTGCCATCCTGCCTGCGTAGGAGTGGATGTGATGTTCCCACTTCCTTGCTGTTGTTTTGCTCGTTAATTCTGAGAGGCACATTACTGTAAGTGGCGTTTTGTGACTTTGCTGATTTTGGGGGGGGGATGCAGATGAGGGCCCGGGTCAGGACTGATTGCTTTTAAAAAAGTCCTCGCTGTGATTGTTCAGCCTACCTACATGAAGTCTGTGATTGTTGAGTTTGCACTGACATGTTGATTTTGACCGAATGTGTGTGTCTGCATACCTCTGCTTCTGTGAGTGTGTGAGTGTGTGTAGGAGGAGTGTGATCGCAGTGTGCCCGAGCATGACGCTCAAAGATGTTGGACACATTTCAGTCCTTTGCTGAGCAGTCTGTCCTCTGCACCGCACAGACAGACATGTTACAGTAACCTGACTCATGGATACATGGCAGGCTTCCCCCAGCTCTGGGCAGGCACTGTGTCATCATTAACATGCAACACTGAGAGAAAAACAATTAAATTCATGAAGGAAAAAAAGATGAATTTACAAAAAAAGAAGAGGTATGCCATAGAAAAAAAACTGAATATGGTCAAATGCGTCAGCAGGTTTTTAGTGAACGGCTCTCTACAGCCAGGCAAAAACACAGAAAAATGCACTTTTACAAGTTAGAAACTTATCATACTCAAAAAAAATGTGTGGAGAAAAACTCAATATTTTCCTGCTGAGACCACCCACTACTGACTTTGTGTTGGATCTGTCCCAGAAAGAGTGTTACATAATCTCCTCATGTTTAGGGATTTCAATAAAGAAACTGTTCAGGTGGTAAAGCCGTCTCTTTCTCAGCCTTTATAGAGTTTTTATAAAAGGCTTTACACTAATATAGAGTGTCAGTTAGTGTTAGCAAACAGAATTATGCTTTTTGGCATTGGCAGGGGTTTGCTAGTGTGAAACAGTCCCAAAAACATGTAAACTAATGCTAGCTAGAAAGTTGATTTTTAGCTCATTTAAAAAAAATGGTGAAAGATAACAGGGTTCTCACTGAATTTGTAAAAAAAAAAAAAAAAAAAAAAAAAAAAAACGCGTATATATTAATGCATGTAAACAGTATTTTTTTTTGGGTGGGCGGGGCTTAGCTAGCGGCTAAACAGTCATCTAGACACATAAACAAATGCTAGCTAGCAACTTGATTTTAGCTCGTTATCAAAAATTTGTGACTTTGAACGATGACACAGTTCTCTGTGAATATGTTTTTAAAAAGGATGCGCTTGTATATATATGCTTTAGTTCATGTAAAGAGTATAATTTTGGGGGGGGGGGGGTGGGCGGGGCTTAGCTAGAGGCGAAACAGTCTATGGGACTACGTTGATTTTAGCTCGTTATTAAAACGATGAAAGATAACACGGTTCTCTCTGAAACAGTCCTACAGATAGGCGAAACAGTCCCATAGACATGTAAACAAAAGCTAGCTAGCAGGTTGATTTAAGTTAATTATCAAAAACAGTCAAAGATAACCTCTGAATTTGTAAAAAAAATATGTATGAGCTTGTATATAAATGCTTTAGTGTGTCTAAACAGTATAATTTTTTGGTGGGCATGGATTAGCTAGAGGCAAAACAGTCCCATAGACACGTAAACAAATGCTAGCTCACAAGTTGATTTTAGCTTGTTATCAAAAATGGTGAAAGTAAACAGGGTTCTCTCTAAATATTCAAAAAGTGCTTTAGTGCTTGAAAACAAAAACAAAAAACACGAAAAAAATGGTGGGCGGGGCTTAGCTGTGGGCAAAACAATTCTCGGCATGTTAATCAGAATGTACCAGCAAGTTTCTTTTCACTTGTTTTCTACTGCAGAAGACGGTAAAATAGGTCTCTTTGAATATATAAATAATATACACTAATATATTGATCATTTCTTGTTTGTAAACAAACAATCTTTCTGGGTGGGCGTGGCCTAGCTCGAGGAAAAAGAAGTTGGAGTTTGATTTTTGTATTTGTTTTTGTTGTTGTTGTGTAAACAGCGAGTGTTGCGCCGCAACTGTGATGTAAACAAAAGATGTCCTGATAAATCAGAGTCACTCTTCAGTAGAGAAAAAATGCAGAACTCTCTTTAAAAAAATCTCCGCACCTCCTCCGTCGTTCCACACTACCGCTCAGCTCACGCCTCCGCCCTCCGAACAACCCACAACCCAACAGATAGTCGGCTGAAAAGTATCGACAACAAAACTTTTACACAAGATTACACACATCACTACAAAAACGGCAGATAGCCTTTAGTCAACAGAACATCAATTCACTGCACCAAAGTACTTACTTTGTTAAAATGAAGCAACATAATGTGCAGATTCATTAACTACACTGAACAAACTCAAATGTAAGATAAGTTTTATTACTTATTTTAACTAATTTTTGCCAATTGCACTTATAGATATCCTTAATTTTTGCATCCACTTTGCAGTTAAAGCTCCTGTGAACAGCACCTAACTTCATTAACAGTACATATAGGGTCCCAGCCATAGCACAACTCACGGACTCTCTTCCAGCAGCCGCCTGTTTGTAGCGAGACCTCTGGGCGAGACTGCAGTGGGGTGTCGCAGCTCAAGGAAGAACATTTGTGGCTTTCATTGTGTACTGAGCTGTTACTATTGTTTATAGGTTTATAGGTATGACATTCTAAAGGGACTTGAACCCTGGACCCTCAGATTAAAAGTCTGATGCTCTACCGACTGAGCTATCCAGGCTCTGGAGAAGGTGGAATAGCAATGGCAAGGAGCCGCGTGCAAACCTCAACCAAAACCCCACTCTATAGCCACAACTTATGCTCAGAACAGCACCTAACTTCATCAACAGTACATATAGCGTCCCAGCCATAGTACTTGCCTGATTTCTTAAGAGACTAAACACAACTCACAACTCACCTACTCTCTTCCAGCAGCCACTTGTTTAAACGCAGATCTCAGGCCAGTCCATTACAGACTGCAGCGGGGTGACGCAGCTCACTGCAGACGCAGTAGTTCTTCTGCCTTAGCGTCTCGGTCTGATGGCACGTACATGAAGAAATTATATTTTCCGGAATATCCCTTTAAAGGAGTTAGAAAGCGGTCAGGTCCTCTGCAGCAAAGATTGAGAGGAACCTAAAGGATAGTGGACCTCATAGACCCCCACACAAAAGACTGTGGTGATAGACTTAAATAGGACATGATGATTCAGAGTTATTTGTTCTAAAAAAGGACAAAATGATCAAAAACAGAACTCAAAAAGAGGGCAGGTCAGCCAGCTGACTAGCTAGCACATGAATCAGCATTCTGGGGTTTGGCAGGGAGGTGAGCTGGTACTACTAGCAGCTATTTCAAGTTCTTGGTAGTGGTAGTACTTGTGGTTTATACAACTTGATGTCATGTACTAAGTTGCTCCTATTGTTTAAAGCTTTACCTACCAAAGGTTTCTCCGCCTGAACAGGGACTTGAACCCTGGACCCTCAGATTAAAAGTCTGATGCTCTACCGACTGAGCTATCCGGGCTCTGAACAGGGCTTGATAACATTTCAATTTGGGTGTGTCCTCACCTACTCTCTTCCAGCAGCCGCTTGTTTGTAGCGGGACCTCAGGCCAGCCAATTACAGACTACAGCGGGGTGACGCAGCTTCAGGAAGAACATTTATGATCATTTCTTCATCATTTCCTTGAAGTAGTAATCACCAAATTAATCATTTTGCACTGCAGACGCGGTAGTTCTTCTGCCTTAGAGTCTCAGTCCGATTACATATCCATGAAGAAAACTGAAAGGGACAAAAGAAAAACTCAACAAAGGATCTCAAGAGAGGGCAGGTCAGCCAGCTTACTAGCTAGCACACGGATTAGCATTCTGGGGGTTGGCGCCAGGAAGTGAGTTGGTACTACTAGCAACTATTTCAAATTCTTGGTTAGTACTTATACCACTTTCTGTCAAGTACTGAGAAGCTACTGTTTCAAGCTTTTCCCTTCTAAAGATTTTCTCCGCCTGAACAGGGACTTGAACCCTGGACCCTCAGATTAAAAGTCTGATGCTCTACCGACTGAGCTATCCAGGCTCTGGAGAGTGAAGGATAGCAATACAAACTTGTCCAAGGAGTCACGCTCAAACCTCCACCAAAATGTGTTACACGCATTCAGCTGGAGAGTCACCAAGAGTCGCTGTGATGACGCTCGGCTCAAACTGCGTATCCTCTAGGTGGGCTAAGCAATCCCCAAATGCCAATAGGCTGTATCAGGTGTCAATCAAAGAAAACATAAACCCCTAATAACTTTTAAAAATGGGGCTAGCTAGCACATGGATCAGCATTTTAGGGTTTGGCGCCCTGAAGTGAGTTGGCTGTTCTCCAACTTCCTGGTCGTGTCAGTACTTGCGGTTTATACAATTTCACGTTGTGGACTAAGCTGCTACTATCGTTTAAAGGTATAACCATAGACTTTATAGACAACTTGGTTCCGCCTTCCGCCTGTATACAGATTTGAAGCCAATAGGCTGTATCAGGTTTGAATCACAGAAAAAACGCCTCAGTTTGTCCACAGTCCCATAAGCTTCGCTGGTGGAGGCAGGATTTGTGACCTATGCTGCAGCTGCTCACCAGGGGGTGCTGTTCTCAGGGTGGCTTCACCCAGTGAGGAGGCAGAAGTTCATTGTTCTATATACAGTCTATAAATTTGACATCGTGGACTGAGCTGCTACTGTGGTTTAAAGCCTTTCACCTACTTAAAGGTTGATCTCGCCTGAACAGGGACTTGAACCCTGGACCCTCAGATTAAAAGTCTGATGCTCTACCGACTGAGCTATCCAGGCTCTGAAGAAGCTCAAACAAGGTGTCAATTTGGGCGTGTCAAGCCATTGTGCCTTTTAGTCATTTTAGTACAGCTAAGATCTGAGTTTTTACAGTGTGGAGCAACATCAGGTCCTTGTTTTGTAGTTGTAGTTTGATAAAATTCACTTCCACACTGGCTCAACCACCCTGTTCTCTGTCCTGTATTTGGTCTTTTGGTCTCATCTGTTACTATCAAAGAGAAAAGTCTCCATCTTGGACCCTCCAGTTGAAAGAAAAAAGCCTCACAGAGTTTAAACCTTCACTGTCGTAAATAAAAAAAGCTGAACCTGTAAAAAAAGAGCAGGTCTGAGTTGACTTCCTCCCTCCCCGGCTGCTTCACAGAGAACTGTATTATTACCTCTCAGTATTGCAGGCTTTTGTCCTCTTGTGGTCACTCTAACACAATATGAAAGTGGAGGATGAAAGTGATCCTCTCATTGTCATTGTTGGGAAGACGACCATAAACGTAGAAAGCTTTGAAAGTCCTGAAAATGACGTGTAGCAGAGAGAACGGCTCTCGGTGTAAATTAGAGACGATTTGACATTTAAGAAATGCAAATATTTCTCAGTTCATCTTGGAAATAAACATCTTTTGATTGATAGATTGATAGAAAAACACATTCTTGACCCCTGAATTGTCAAACCGGGTTTTAATTGCGGCTGAATTGTAAATAGATTGAAAGTCTGAGGCTCTTCTGCTGCCTCTGATTAGTGAAAAATCTCCTCTAAACATCCAAAACAAAACTTTAAAAGCACTCTGCTTTCAAAGAGGCATTATTCACCCTCACTTATGGAAAACCTCTGACATTACCTAACAATGCTCCACAAAAATATCGCTCGGCGAGGAGAGCTCCTCGTGTCGATCAGTCATTAGTCACGCAGTGAATCACACAATCATCCAGAGGTGAGAGCGGAGCAGAGGGAGAAGCGTTAAAAACATTTTAAAGTGCAGAAAACCTTTAAAAACTCTCATTTAATTGATTAGAAAACCTCCCGCTGAGACAGATTTACATCCCTGTGACACTCCTCGAATTTTCTCCTCGAATACATGAACATATTTTCGAGCAGCACAGGCTCTAACCCAGCTCCAGTCTTTTCTGAACCGAGTGTGAACGCTCCGACAGCGTGCCGACATTATTCTGGTTGTTTTGGTCGTTCAGAAGTGACAAAAAAAAAAAAAAAGTGACAGCATCTTGAGAAAAAGAAAAAAAAAAAAGTTGATTTTAAGATTTATCAAGTGAAAAATTGTCGTCCTGGTAAGTTTTCACGGCTTCTCAGGAGGAAAAAAAAATTTGATTTCCAAACTTGAAATGCTGGATTGGATGACCCCCGCGTCTTTGGATGAATGTGGCGTCTGGAGCCAAGTGCTGCCTTCACGAAACGCTCGAAAACATGGTGAGAAAAACAAGACTCGGTGATAATTATTCATCAGTCATTTCTTGGTTACAACAATCAACAAACAATCAAAGCTTTATTCAATCATATCATCATTATCTTACTAATTAAAAACAGGATTCCCAAAGAATTTATACAGATTTGTCAAGAAGAAGAGACTAAAATCAGCACATATCCACTCTATAGATAACCAGCAGCATCCCTCATCTGACACCTTTGATATCTTACAGTAAGTATAACTGACCACTTGGGGGCAGCAGAGACAGAAACAACAAAAAAAACAGATGTGTCATTTTTAGTCTAATGAAGCTAATGCGCTAGCCAACACTGTATTTATTTTACACATTCAGCAGAAACAGAGTGACACCATCACCTGTTGGAAATAAAGTCATGAGTAACAGTTTTTATCTCCATGTTTGGTCTCCACCACAGATTGTAGAGTTTTGGTCCTAGAGTAACTATTTTGTGTTTTTTTTTTTTTACCTCTTTTTTAATTTACTTTCTTTTATAGTTTGATTTTAAGTCTGTTTTATTTAATTAACTTTTAACACTTTATCACCTTTATTATATTTATCATGGTTTTATCGTTTTAGCCCTAGATCCAGCAGTTCCTCAGTCATCTGTGTGTGTTGAATGGGGGTTGGGAGAGTGGGTTATGTTTGGTATTTGTATTTTTATTTATTTTACTTCATTGTTTTTTAATATCTTGCGCAACTGGACAGCACTTTGTGCGACATTCCATGTATGAAAAGTGTTTTAAAAATCAAGTTTGATTGATTGATCGAAAACATGGACATTTAGTCCATGTAGTGGCTCTTTAAGAGGTGTTATAACGCCAAACGATGGAAGATGCCATGTTGAAAACGCTGACTCAGCTTAATCTTTGGTCGACAGAAAGAGGACTTGAGGACTTAAGGTGGGTCTTCAGTGTCCTAGTGAACAGCTACACTTGGCCCTTAAGTTAAATGTGACTATTTACTGGACAAACATGGCGGTAGTGTCTGTGACCTCGCTTTTGAGTTTCTAAACAAATGCCAAAATTTTGTGGACACCATATTGGAAATGCTGATTGAGCGCAACCTAAACAGCAAAGAAGTCCTGATTTTTGTACTCTTCGGAAAACGTCTACAACTCGCCGCCCTGTCCATAAACTCGGCTGTGCTTAATCACGCAAATTTATGTTGGCATTTTTTTTTTTTTTTTTTTTTTTTTTGGCAACCTAAAACTGTGAGTTTTTTTGAATGGGACTTAATGGACTTCACCTCGTTTCTGCCACCAGCCTCATGTGGACACTTGAGGAACTGCAGTTTTTGGACCCTTGCATAGGTGTCAGTTTTAGCTTAGTTTAAAGATGCTAGTGGCTTCCTTTTCAACTTGATTTGGTGTATTTATTTTTGTTGCAACCTAAAACTGTGAGTTTGGACATAAATATTCTTTTTGAATTCATAAGGGATTAATTTAAAAAGATTTAAAGGTGCAGTCTGTAGAATTTAGAGGCATTTGGCTGAACATACTCAGAAGAAATATTTAAATTAATTCATAAAAAGTCAAATATCACTTCCTGTAGGTGACAGAAGTCATTAGAAACATTTCACATAATCCGAAAGAAAAATTCACTGATGTGAACGATTGTATTGACACGATACGGGTTCGCAAAAAAAAATATTGACGTCTGAATAATCGCACGAAAAAAAATGATCAATTAATGATAAATGATGATTAAACATTAACAAATTAGCTTACCATAATTTATGGTTATTGTAAAGTGTTACTAAAATATGGTATTTATAATATAGTGTTAGTTAACATTGTTGCTCATTTAAACTGTCACAATCGTAAAAGGACGACTTTATATTATTTTTGAGATTTCTTCATTCTTTGCTCTTTTTTTCCAGCAGTGTTGTCTTTCTGAATAGAGAGAAAGAGAAAGAGAGAGAGAGGAATATAACACCCAACAAAGCCAGATTTCGAAGCAGATGGCCCACACTTGTAGTTTGCTCATTTCGTATAATCCCCTCGCGGTCACATGACCCAAAATCCACCCATCATTTGTTTCAGAGAGCATTGCGTTTAAAAACATTCACTCCAAAATCAAGCAGATTTCTTCCCACCAGTGATCTGTGGAGGGTTTTTTTTTGTGTGCTTGTATTAAACAGACGAAGGAGAGTGCAGATTGAAATTCACCGCAGAACCGCAAAGAGGGAAAAACTGACAAACTCACACAGAGAAATGTGAGAGTTTCAAGACGGGGAGATGAAAAGTCTGCATCTAATTTTGTTTTCTTTTAACACACATTAACCTACATACTGTCTCCACACACACACATTTAAAACACACACACACACCCTGGTCTGACAGGACTATTTGTGATAATGACCCTTAATGAATCACCGCACTAGTTTAGCGTCCTGATGCTAAAATCTGAATATTCACAGTTATGCTAACAGCCGATCTTCTCTCCTCCAGCTCCAGTGTTACTTCTGACTCATTCAAATGCCTTTGTACAACTTTCTCTCACACACACACACACACAAACACAAACACACACTCTCAGCAACACACAGCTCTCACTTCCTAGTCACTGGCCCTGGACGCCATCGCTACGGCGCCTTTTGCAGCAGGCATCAGAACGGACACCTGTCATCAGTCAGCAGGCCCCCGTGCCCACTGTTGCCCCCCGCGGATACTTATAGCCCACTGCAATTATGTTGTTCCATTAGTCATCCCACGCGTGCAGTGATGGGCTGCTGGCTATACTTAGCCTCCGTCATGGTCACTGTTGGACAAATAAAAGACTTTGCAGACTGATGCGTCAAACACCATGAGGAGAGATGATTAATAGCTGCTCAGTCGTCGTGGAGACGGTAGTTTTTGGTTGTTCTTGATGAAGTTTGTTGGTGAGGAAACAACCATGAGCGGTAAATGTTCGGTCAAAGACTTTTCACACAGGTTTGGTACGCTAGATTTATTACTCCACCTTTTATCTACATAAATATTCCCTCTTTTGTTGTTTTTATCTAGTTGTATATTTACAGAGTTTGATGTTAGCCGTTAGCTTTAGCAGGAGTCTCTCTCGAAAAGCGGTTTGGTACTGTTGCCTCCGAACCAAAACAATCAACAAACAAGTTAGTAACAAGCTAACTAATCGTCATTTTATCTACATATATATTCCCTGTTTTGTTGTTTTTATCTAGTTTAATATTTAGAGAGTTTGATGGTAGCCGTTAGCGTTAGCAGGAGTCTCTCTCAAAATGCGGTTTGGTACTGTTGCCTCCGTACCAAAACAATCAACAAACAAGTTAGTAACAAGCTAACTAATCGTCTGTCTAATGCACCAGTCCCCATGTTTTTTAATGCTGGTCCACATTCGGGTCAAATCTACGTTCCTTATTTTGGTTCTCAAACCAAAACTACAACTTTAGCACAATTTACGACTTTATTCTTTTAAGATTATGACTTTAAAACGACTTAACTCCCATCACACTCTGATTTTAACCTTGTAATATTACTTGATTTTCCTACAACTTTATTCGTGGAAAATAACGACTTTCCTACGACTTTATTCTTGTGAGTTTATGACTTTAAACGACTTCAAATGGTTTAAATCTTGTAACATTACTTGATTTTCTTACAAATCTATACATATAGAAATGACGACTTTCTTACGATTTTATTCTTGAAACTTAATGACTAAAACGACTTAACAATATGATTTTAATCTTGTAACATTACAAAATTTTCTTACAACTCTATACATGTAAAATAACATTTTTCCTACAACTTAATTCTTGTAAGTTTATGACTCTAAAACGACTTCAAAATATGACTTTAATCTTGTAACATTACTTGATTTTCTAACGACTCTATTCTTGTGTAAAATAACGACTTTATTCTTGCAAGAAATAGATTGTTTCTTGAACGTGGCTCTAGTACTCTGTGATAGCTAGTAATGTCTTTTAGATGAGTTTTTGATAAATGTTTACATCGTTCAGATTGTAACCGATTTCAACGCCAGGGTTAGCCTTAAATCTCCTGTGAGGAACTTTCTGTCTGTGTCGATTTTGGCGCCCCCTGTGGGCAAAGTTGGTTTAAATGGTGATGACATAAATATAAATCTTCAGCAACCTTAACTACTCTCTGTGAAAAATTACTGTTAAAAAGCGACAAAGGCTGTTTGTTTTTAGTGTATTTAACCCCTCACAACAGTTACACGCATAAAAATTACAAAATAGAGACTGTCCTAGGGCTGATCTATGTCCTCAAATCAATATCACGATATATTGATCAGTTCATCTCGATTACGATAAATGGATGATAACTACTCCACAAGCTGCTCACCCCCTCCCACATTAACTTCGTCTACTTCAGCCGCTACAACTCACACATCAAAACCAACTTTTATTTATTTATTTATTTGACACAGAACATACCGATATGGGCAAAATGACGTCTGTTATTGTCGTAAATTTCGGTTTAGGTAGATTTTCGGTTTATCGCCCAGCCCTAGACTGTTCATCTTTTCATTGATAGTCTCATTTGTCTTTCCATGCCATAGAGATGTATTTCCATTCACTTCAGTCGGTTTTATAACAATGAAAAACTCCTCACAGGAGCTTTAAAAATACACAACAGAAGACGAGGAACATCCTCGCTAGAGCCGATATGATGCCTGTTACATCTGAGTGCCAACACTCTGCTGACCGTGTGAGGACAAGTTGGCGTCTGCAGCTTCCTGAACTCGACTCAAAATCACACCGACTCTAAAGACAGTGACGTCCAGGGAGACTCTCGATTCGTCTGGACTTCAAACTTGAGAATTACCGTATCATCATATCCAAAGATTGACTAAATGAACAGCATGTCTGCAAATTTGAGATCCAGCCGGGGCTCAAAAACTCTGAGAAAATAAAAAACGTACGACAAAAAAGGAAATAAATGAACAAATGTGCGAATTGAGTGTGTTGGTAGTCGCCTGCTTATCAAAAATCTCCAGATGGAAACAGCGTATGTAGGATGTGACAGTGAGCAAAGTGCACAACACTGCTGTCTGTTTTCACTTTCACCATCATGACATGTTCGTTGGCTGGAGGTTACGAGGGAAATGTTGAAGAGAGAAAATTGTGAGGACTCCGTGTTGCATCTTGGATGATGAAGCACAGGATGGAGATGGTGTGGAGTCAGTCAGTCAGTCAGTGTGGAGGAGGAGGCGGGAGGTGCAGTGGAGGATTCAGTGTCCTCCTCTTCTTCCCTCTGGAGCTCTGTGGAGTCTCTGAATCTTGACTAAAAACACACACTACCATTAAAATTATTCGTTATTGAAGTTATTGACGGTGTAAAGAGTGGATCCAGCTTTGACTCTCTGTAATAACTGAACAAAAGGAAGACGATCTTCTTTCTCTCTGAAACTAAACTGAAGCTCAGAGATTTCTTCAAAGGTCTGTTTTCCTCCCCGCTCTAACTAACTACCTCATCATTACTGCTGCCACCCACACACACAACACTTAACTTCCTCTGCATGGAGAGGCCGCCAGAGGGAACTCTGGGAAATGGAGTCAAGACAGTGAAGGCAATCGTAACTGGCAATTTCCACCGCAATCGGAAACGGCTACGAAAAGGCCGTATCCGCCGATCGTAGCTGATCGTAACCATTAATGTGTCAATTTCCACTGGCTTCTCTACATTCAGCTGCAGATTGCCGAACTAGTTTAATTTTTTCCGGATGCCAGAGCATTCCCGATAAATTCAGCACAGATTAACCCGTGCTGGAAAGGAAGTCGGATTTGAACGTATTTCAGGTAAATCGTATTTCACATTATGCAAACAGGCGGGGACGAACGAGTGAAAGGATTTTAGACGTCATTTCATTCTGGTGATACCATAGATGAGAGGATGCTGGTTCTAAAAGTCTAGAAGTAGATTTCCTTTGATGAATTATGTAATAAGTGATTGATGGATAATTGAAAAATTCATTGATTAATTGATTGATGATTTACTGATTGAATAAGTGATTAACTTACAGACTGACTAACACCGAGCTACATTGATAAACTTTTATTAAAAGTGATAAGTTGATAAATATTTTACTGATTGATTGATTGATTGATTGATTGATTGATTGATTGATTGATTGATGGTTGACTTATTGATTGATGGACCAATTGAAATTCAATACATGACTTGATTAATTGATCAAACTTAAAACTTTTTGACTTTTTTCCTTAAATGTATTATTGACTTGAAAGCTGATTGAATGATTGATTGATTGATTGATTAATTGATTGATTGATGGGTTGGTCATGACTAGGCTTTTGATTGATTGATTGATTAATTGATTAATTGAACATGGTCCTTTTTGATTTGTCCTGTAATTGATAAACTGATTGATTGATAGTCTGTTTTATAGATTGATTGATTGATCTTTTAATGTTTGATAGATATATTTATGAATTGGTTGATTGAATCCCTAATTTATTAATGTATTGATTTATTGACTGATCACTTGCTCGATTGTTTATGAAACTGAAGAGTAAATGATTGATGATCAGTTTCATTGATTGATCATCTCTGGTTGTATCTGATTTTCTTCCTCCCCTCACACACCCTAGTCTGTAGGTGGTTCTCATCCTCAGACTCTCTCTCCCTCCCTCTCTCTCTCTCTCTTTCTCTCTCTTTCTCGCTCTCTCTCTCTCTCTCTCTCTCTCTCTCTCCCTCTCTTCCTCTCTTTCTCTCTCCCTCCCTCTCTCTCTCCCTCTCTCTCTCTCTCCCTCCCTCTCTCTCTCTCTTCCTCTCTTCCTCCCCCCCTCCCTCTCTCTCTCTCTCTCTCTCTCTCTCCCTCTCTCCCCCCTCTCTCTCCCTGCTGACACGTATCATGACTGCGCAGTCATCAGGGAGCATCTGGCGGTGAAACCAAGTGTTGCCGTTGTTCAGAGGAAGGTTGACTCTCATAGGGAGGTGCCTCAGCTCCTCTCTGCTCCTGGTCTGGAGGTGGACAAATCTGGGCTCCATCATGATGTCCATCTGCAGCAGGTTGGGCTCCTCATGGAGCAGCTGCTCAGTGTCACTGCTCCGTCATCCTACGTCTACAGTTTCCCTGAGAAGTCTTTGTTTTCATAAACTCCTCCTCGCCTTGAAAGACGTCCTCTTTGTCTCCAGTTTTCAGAGGAATCATCTCAGGATGCATATCTGCTTAACAGATACATGACACCGCGGTTTAAAGCGTGACAGCTGCTGATGTTTTCTGCGTGAACCGTCTTATTCTTAGCCTGACAGATGATTTTTTTGCACCTTGAGAATCTACAAGAGTCGACACCGAACCTACAGCGGCAGCTATATTTCCCTCTCTGCCAAAAAAATGTCTTCTCCGAGCGTTTGAGTCACTCCATCGCTCCGTCATCACTCGCTCAGCCAGCATGTCTGTCGGTCCTTCTGTAGCTCCAGTTCTGTATCTCCTCTCAGTCCAAAGCTGTCATGCAAATAGGCAAAAGTAAACCTCTCTCACTCAATCCAAATGTAATAAATTAACAATAACTCTTTTCACGCCCAGCTTTGTCTACATTCAGCTGCTGTAAACCCACATAAGAAAACCCTCAAAATGTCATCTTCAGACTTTTAGCATTAAATATTCTCATTTTCAGTCCATATAAAATATCTGTAGACCTTACATTTTTGCTTCATACCAGCAAATAGCACAGTACAAAACTCATATTTCGATTATCAGTAAATAACATACCTGTGGTAACATTCCCAAACAAAAAAATTAACTCCTAAATTACTTGATAAAATATAGTGCGATATATTTAAAGTATATGGGATACAATTTCAAGATGACAGAAGGTAACATGAGAAGATTGAGAAATATGACAATATACAATACAAGACTAAACGTACTTACAATACATAACAATATGATGATATGATAAATACAATATGATATGATACAATATGAAGCAATATCATATATGATACAACATGATCTAATACAATACGATAAAATATGGTGATATAATATCAAATGACATTACATGATATAACTCTATGCAATACAAGAAGATACGATATGATATGAAATGATAAGATATGATATGATACAATACAATACAATATAATAAAATATGAACCAATATGATACGGTACAATATGAAAAATTATGATATGATATGACACAATATTATATGATATAATTCCATGCAATATGATATGATACAATATGATACAATATGATACAATATGATATGATACAATATGATAGGATATGATCTGATATGAAACAACATCATACGATATGATTCCAAGCAATACAATATGATATGATATGATATGATAGAATACAGCACAAAGGGATACAACACAATGCAAAAATGCATGACAACACAATATGTAACAGTTTGTTAGGTTATGAGATGATGTTTTACCTTCAAATTAATTAGTTTCAGGATTGGTCTAACTTAGATCAAACGTGGATTCATGATGATATAAATGATTAGATTTTATACAGTAGGATATGATACGATAAAGTACAATGGGATATGATAGAATAAGGTCGGAGATTACATGAAGTAATGTGATACTTTATACTTAGAGCTCTCTTGGAGAAATTTTTCTTTTACATGATTTAGATTACATAATCTCATGTTATGATATGGTACATACGGTTGATATCATATACATGACTTCCCCCTCTGGAAAAATCATCTTGAACACTATATCATTATATCACAGAAGCTACGCCCGCTCCCTCCCCCTCTGTATCTCTACGGTAAAAGACAGACATAATTAAGGGTTTCCCAATCACCACTTTCGTCTACAACCCCCCCTCAGAGTCCCATCACCGGGCTCTCTGCACCTTTAACTCTCGCACTCAGACAAACTCGCCCCAGCTGTCATCTACTTCATCTCCTTGTAAAGCGCTCAGTGAGATCAGAAACTCCTGCCGCTGCTGCCCTCAGGTGTAAACGCACCTTGTCAGTTAGCCTACTCATAACGCTTCGTACGTTTTTATCCTTTTTGTCTGCCGCCGCCTTGAACCGCGACGCTTCAGGCCCACTGAAGTTTTGGATTTCCTAACCCAGCTTTAATTTTCAGTCTCGGCTTTCCTCATCTCTTTATCGTTTTATCTTTCATCACTCTCTTCTGTTTCTCCCTCTCCCTCGCTCTTTCTCAGAGGGAATTACATAAGTCTTTGTGTGTGTGTGTGTGTGTGTGTGTGTGGGCAGCGTTGCATTTTATGTAAGGCGGACCTGGAAATGGCTAGCAAAACACTAGGGTCCTGCTCTCTGTGATTTTTTATTCCTCTTTCTCTCTCTGCTTCTCTTATAGCCTTGTGTGGTTGGGTCATCGGACTGCGGATCTGCGTGGTGTTTGGCTCCTGATATGCGATGAGGTGACTCTTCAGGCCCACTCGGAGTCACTCTCAGAGCTGTTTTTTTTTTCTCAAAGCATACCTTAAAATAAGAAGTTTTGATTCCCAATTTGAAGACGTTTGACTTGCGGTGAAAGTGTTTCTTCGAGGGCTGAGTTTGTTTTACTTGCTGCAAACATCTGTAGTTAACAGCGTAACCTCGCTAATCTTGATAACCGGGGATATTACTGACTCAGAAAACAGAGCGCGCACTTATTTCTCAAAGTAAACAAGAGCAGGTCCGTGTAGCTGGTTGTAAATCGGACTCGTTTCCAGTGAGAGTTATGTTGCTGTTTTTTGCGGATGATGATGGGGTCCTTGTACCTTCGTCGAGCAGTGACCTTCAGCTCTTGCTGGGGCGGTTTCGTGGCCGAGTGTGATGCGGCTGGGATGAGAATCAGCACCTCCAAGTCCGAGGCCGTGGTCCTCAGTCGGAAAAGGTTAGATCGCCGTCTCCAGGTTGGAGGGAAGGTCCTGCCTCAAGTGGAGGAGTTCAAGTATCTCAGGATCTTGAGGGTAGGATGGAGCAGGAGAGCGACAGGCGGATTGGAGTGGTGTCAGCAGTGATGCGGACGCTTAACCGATCAGTCGTAGTGAAGAAAGAGCTGAGTCGTAAGGCGAGACTCTCGATTTACCGGTCGATCGACGTGCCGACTCTCACCTATGGTCATGAACTTTGGGTAATGACCGAAAGAACAAGATCGCGGATACAAGCGGCCAAAATGGGTTTCCTTCACAGGGTGGCCGGGCTCAGCCTTAGAGATAGGGTAAGGAGCTTGGGTATCTGGTTAGGATGCCTTCTGGACGCCTCCCGTTAGAGGTGTTCCGGACATGTCCCACCAGGAGGAGACCTCGTGGCCGGCCCAGGACCAGGTGGAGGGATTATATCTCTCGCCTGGCCTGGGAGCGCCTGGGAATCCCCCCGGAGGAGCTGGTGGAAGTGGCCGGGGTGAGGGCCGTCTGAGCTTCCCTCCTGAAGCTGCCGCCCCTGCGACCCGGACCTGGATGAAGCGGAAGAAAACGACGAACAAGAGCAGGCTACTCAAGTCCATACAGCATTTTTGCTAGTGAAGCTAAAGCTAACAGAAAAAAAATCATGAATTGTTCCTTTATGTCCACACTGGACACATTTGTAAGGTACTGTATTTGTCTTGTAAGGTACTTCAATAGTACCTGGCTCCAGACACAGCGGACCCCTGTAAGGACTTGTACAGCCGGCCTCTTGAAGCTGGCTCCAAAAACCAGGAATCCCTGTTAGTGTCTGTGTTAAAAATGTCATTTTTTTCATTAACTTATTTACAGTCTGATGCTTAAGACAGTTTTATCTTCCTTCATCCAGGGAGTGCATCTGGGGACATTTGGACAGACTTACAGCCAATCAGAGTTGGTGTCACAGAGACGGACAGACTCACCTGCAAGTGAATGATGGATTTAAGATGGTTTTGATGTGTCTGGTTTCTTTATTTATAAACACCAGAAAAAAGTGACAAATGCCTTAAAGACATTGAGTTTAAGAGTTTTCCATAATAAGTTATAATAAGGGGTGTGGTTGTACCGACAGGTGGGTGTGTGGTAGCTGTTTGGCTCCTCCCACCTCCTTTTTTTTTCTTTATTGAAAGTAAGAATAAGTTTTTTCGCACAATTTATAGATGCTGGTGTGTTGTGTTACTAACATTAAAGTAAGAAGCATGTCGTATATATTTGATTTAGACAAGAATTGTAGATAAATGCTGTTATTTTGCCTGTCGGTGCCCCAGTTGGGCCCCCAGATCTGAAAAGTCTAGATCTGCCCCTGCTGATAATTTAAAGCTCTTGTGAGAAGTTTTTTGATTTTCACGAAATAGACTAAAATTCCTACTGACACCTTTTTATGAAGTACAAACCAAACAAACTCATCAGATGACACTCAAAGATGGGACGGACAAGATAAGCAAAACCTGCGAGAAACCAAAAGTTCCTCATGGGAGCTTTAAGATACGATACTTGGGATGTTCACCCATGCTGCAGCCATGAAAAACAAACGCACAGCATATATTATAACATGACTCAATACAATTAACACTGAATGTCCTGAGCACTTAATGAAAGCATGTGAAGGCAGCATTATTTCTCTTTTCTCTCCTCATTCTCAAACCGAATAAAAAAACAAAAGCCGTGTTTATTATGTAACACTGACGTCCTCCTTTGATTGATATGCGCCGTACTTGAATCTTGACCCCCTCCGCTGTTATTTACCATTAGCTGTACATTGTCCTAGAGAGTGTAGATTGGCGCTCAGATATCTGCGTTTTCACAGGAAGGAGGGGGAGTTATGTAATGAGTGGCAGGGGGTGACGATGAGGAAAGTGAAAATTCAAATGTGCGGTCGAATGAAAACAGTTTTCGAAACGCTGGAGCAGGTTTCTGCAGCTGGTGTTGGAGCTGCACAGCTGCACTACAAGATGATACAAACATAATAATCATTTTTTTATTCCTCTTTTTAATGTATTCGTTTATTTTCTGAAAACGTTGCAACTCTGCACCCTGGAAAACCTCTAAGATAGCGTGCATGCATGTGTGTGCTCATCCTTGTTTGTTTGCACGCACGCACACGCGCATCCGACTCGTCCGAGGAAGGGTGTTTCACTGAGTGGGAATGCCTGGTAGGATGTGTAGGCCCGGGTTGCCATGGCAACCATCTGCTGCTACACTCACAAGCGTTCGCCAGCAGCCCACACAGTGTGACATCCAGCAGCAAGCCGATCTGAGAGAGAGAGAGAGAGAGAGAGAAAGTAAACCTGTGATCGAAAAATTCAGGAAAACACAAACTCACTCCTGAGCGATTGTTCTTTTATGGACATGTGAAGGTTTTTATGTTTTGTTTTTTTTATTCTCTCAGTAAAGCCCAGAAAATGATTTCCGTAGAAACACAATTTAGAGACTGTATTGACGCAACAGAAGGAAGAGAGGTGTGCAGCGTTTGCAGCCACACACTGAAGCGCACAATCGCACTACGACCATAAACAGACTGAACACACGGATGTAAAGCTGCTTTAAAGTTTGAAAAAGTCTGAATCAAAGTTTGGTAAACAAAAAAACCCCACAAAAACATGAGTTATTTCACTCACCTGTTGGTTACAGGAAAACACACCATGTTGTCATTTTGTGTATTGCAGTTGTTTAAGGTTTTCTTTTTTAGCTAAACTTTTTGTCTTTTTTATCTCTTTGTAGTTACATGTTTTTGTCGTCATGTTTTGTGTCTCTCAATGTTTGTGTCTCCTTAATGTTGTTTTGTTGTCTTTGTGTTGTTGCTCCTGCCACTTTAAGGTCACTTTTTTTGTCTCTTTGTAGTCAAATTATATTTCTTTATTATAGGTGCTGTCTCTTTGTGGTTTTTTTATGACTTGTTATTGTTGTTTTGTGTCGGGTTGTAATCATTTGTGTCTCTTGTAGTTGTTTTGGATCTCTTCATAGTAATTTTGCTGCTGTTTTGTGTTGTTTTGTTTCTTTGTTTAGTGATATTGTTGTTCTTTGTTGTATTTTGTTTCTGTTTAGTTTTGGTGGGGGGGGGGGTTTTGTTTGTTTTTTTGTCTGTTTTTTTTTCTCTCATTTGTGTAATTTTGTGTCTGTTTATGGATACCTAGTTTTTTATGTCTCTTGTTGGTCATATTGTTGATCTTTGTGTTGATCTTTGTTGTCAAATTTTGTGTCTTTGTAGTCAAATTGTAACTGTGTTCTCCTTGCAGTTAGTTTGTGACTAGTTATTGTTATTTTGTGTAGCACTGTGATCTCATATGTATCAACATATACTCATATTGTGTCTCTTTACTGTAATTTTGTGTTGTTTTGTGCCTCTACATAGTAATGTTGCCCATCTCAGTTGTTGTTTGTGTCATTAGTCTTTTTGCAGTCGTTTTGTCTTTGTATCAGTTTTATAGAAGTGTGGTCAATGTGTGTCTCTTTTCAGAAATTAAGTGTGTTTGATGGTCAATTTGTATCTGTTTATGTTTTTTTATTTCTTGGTGTTGTTTTGTGTTGTTACATATTTGTTTTCTGTCTCTTTTTTGTCATTTTGTGTCTCTTAGTAGTCAAATTGTGTCTTTATTAGATATTTGGGTTTTCATGTTGTTGTTTTTTTCCAACTTGTGTATTTTTCTGCTTCTTTGTTGCTAATTCTTTATTGTTTGTGTCTTTTTTTTAAGTTGAATTGTGTCTTTTGTCTCCCCGCTTTCATAATTTGTATCTTTGTAGCATTTTTGTTCCTTTGTGTTGTTAATTTGTGTATCTATGAAGTCATAGATTTGGAATTTTTTTGTTTTGTGTCATTTTATAGTTTTTGTTACACTTTTTTGTCTCTTTGTGGTCATTTTAAGTCTCATGTGTACAGTGTTTTGTACATCTGTTAACATACGTTAGCTGTATCTTTTGTGTCGGCTTCAAAAGCAAATCCATACTCTCAACACTTTTCACATACTGTTTTATGAAAGAACAAAGGTCATAGACAAAAAGATCTTTAAAAATGTGAATATTATTGTTTTGTATAACTTGTCTGATCGTTGTAATAAAAACCCTGTAAATGTGTTTCAGATGCAGGAGGTGGGCAGCACCCAGAAAGGCCCTCAGAGGTCCTTCAGTGTCCTGGACCGTCTGCTCATAACACATCCTGTGTGGCTGCAGCTGTCACTCAACCAAGACTCCGCCCTCTACATCCTGCTCAGAGAACCTGTCGGGGTACGAATAGACCGGGTGTTACCATCATATTAAAAAAAAATGTCAAAACTTCAAACATCATGAAGATTGTGATAAAACACTGACTTTTAAGGCTCCAAATGGACTGTAGAGAAACTGTGATCTATCTGTTCAGTACTTAAATTTCTCTTTACGCCATCTGTGCTTTGTCCTGAGAAACCTGTGAAAAGAATATACTGTATGTCTATAAAAAGACCGTAACATCTCTGCTCTTTTATTCCTGTTTCTGTGGCGGCCGTTGGTGCTCGCAGACCTTTTTGGTGCGAAAATGCAGCTCAAGCCAGAGGAAGGTGCTGTGTTTCAGGATGACAGCCGACAAAAGTGCCTCCTCTGTAAAAGAGTGCTTCATCTGTGAGGAGGACTCCAGTGAGTACTTGGAAAAACTTTATCAGTTTGTACGATCGTCTTTACTGCACATGCTGGGCGGGACAGAGTAGTTGGTTTGTGTAAATCTCAGTCAATCACTCGCTCTCTCCATCTCCGTCTCTATGACCAGCATTCGCCTTGGAGAGCTCAGCGCTCAGCTTCCCTGACCTGTGTCGACTCGTGGCCTTCTACTGCATCAGCAGGTGATGTTTTATTCTAACTCATGAGCACAAAGCAGAGAGGAGGAGCTGAGGGGAAAACTGGTTAAGAGGGGTAAAGTTTACATTCAAGATTTCTCCCAAAAACTGGCACTTCCTCAGATTCTGCCTACCCCACCTTTAAGCAGAATTTGGATGTAAAGGAAAAGTCAGAGAAGAGTGTTTAATTGAAAGTTTTTTTTTAGTATTTCTGCCTGGAAATGATTGAGAGTTTAATTTACAGGTAAGCTTCATTATATTTTAAAGTTGGTTTAACAAAAAGAGAAACCGTATGACTCACTCTACACTCAGAGGGATACTCAGCTCGAGCCCAATAAAACGCTGTCGTGAATATTTATGTCTGAGGAAGCTTTTGTCCCTCTGAATTTTTTACCCCAGCTGAGTCCCTTAGCGACACTTAAGTCCAAGATGAATTTTATATGTATGAAGCACTTTGAGGACTCTTTAATGAAACTGAGATTTGACTCTAACTCAACAGTTTGGGGCGTTTCAAAGTTATCTTTTATAAAAAAGGACAAAATACTCAAAAACAGAACTGAAAAAAAGAGGGCAGGTCAGCTAGCTAACTAGCTAGCAGATGGATTAGCATTCTGGGGTTCGGCACCAGGAAGTAAGCTTGTACTACTAGCAGCTATTACAAGTTCTTGATTGTGTTAGTACTTGTGGTTTATACACATATCTCTTGTACTGAGTTGGTCCTACAGATTAAAGCTTTTACCTTCTAAAGGTTACTTCGCCTGAACAGGGACTTGAACCCTGGACCCTCAGATTAAAAGTCTGATGCTCTACCGACTGAGCTATCCAGGCTCTGCAGAGTGCTGACAAAGGTGTCAATTTGTCCGTGTCAAGTCATTGTGTCTTCTAATAAGTTTGCTAATGCAAGGATCAGAGTTTTTGCAGTGTGGAGCAACATAAGGTCCTTGTTTTGTAGTTTGATGGACCTCACCTACTCTCTTCCAGCAGACGCTTGTTTGTAGCGAGACCTTAGGCCAGTCCACTACAGACTACAGCGGGGTGACGCAGCTCAAGGAAGAACATTTATGATCATTACTTTGAAGTAACAATCACCACATGAATCATTTTGCACTGCAGACGCGGTAGTTCTTCTGCTTTAGGATCCCGGTCTGATCGCATTTCCATGAAGACATGATCATTCTGGGGTTTGGCGTCAGGAAGTGAGTGAGGTACAACTCCCAGCGATTCCAAGTTCTTGGTCATGTTAGTACTTGTTACAACTTGATCTCTTGTACTGTGTTGCTCCTATTGTTTAAAGCCTTCACCGTCTAAAGATTTCTCCGCCTGAACAGGGACTTGAACCCTGGACCCTCAGATTAAAAGTCTGATGCTCTACCGACTGAGCTATCCAGGCTCTGTAAAGGACTGAAAAACGTTTCAATCTCTGCGTGTCAAGTCATTGTGTCTCCTATTAAGTTTGCTAATGCAAGGATCAGAGTTTTTGCAGTGTGGAGCAACATCAGGTCCTTGTTTTGTAGTTTGACGGACCTCACCTACTCTCTTCCAGCAGCCGCTTGTTTGTAGCAAGACCTCAGGCCAGTCTATCACGGACTACATTGGGGTGACACAGCTCAAGGAAGAACACTTTTGATCATTACTTAATCATTTCCTTGAAGTAATAATCATCATATTAATCATTTTGCACTGCAGACGCAGTAGTTCTTCTGCCTTAGCGTCTCGGTCTGATTGCATTTCCATGAAGAAATGATCATAAATGTTCTTCCTTGAGCTGCATAACCCCGCTGTAGTCCGTAACGGACTGGCCTGAGATCTCGCTACAAACAAGCGGCTGCTGGAATACAGTAGGTGAGTTGTGTTTAGTCTCTTTGCCAAAGAAATCAGGCAAAGTTAAAAAGATGTTTGATAGCTAGTACTATGGCTGGGACCCTATATGTACTTTTGATGAAGTTAGGTGCTGGACAGAGAGCTGCGTGGTTGAATCAGCGTGGCGCCATGAACACACATTGCATGCAAATCCAAAAAGAGAAAAGTGAATTATTTTTTAAACTACAAAACAAGAACCTCAAGTTGCTCCACACTTCAAAAATTCAGATCTTAGCTTCAGCAAACTCAAAAGAAGGCAAAAAGACTTGACACGGCAAAATTGACACCTTTTTCAGCAGTCTACAGAGCCTGGATAGCTCAGTCGGTAGAGCATCAGACTTTTAATCTGAGGGTCCAGGGTTCAAGTCCCTGTTCAGGCGAGATTGACCTTTAGAAAGTACTACCTTTGAACAATAGAACCTGCTCTGCTCATCACGTCAAGTTGTATGAGCCACAAGTACTAACACAATCGGAAGTTGAAGAACAGCCAGCCAATTTCCCAATGCTTAACCCTAAAATGCTAACCCATGTGCTAGCTAACTAACCAGCTAGTTGACCCGCCCGCTTTTTTTGAGTTCCGTTTTTGATTATTTTGTCCTTTTTTATAAAAGATAACTTTGAATCATCATGTCCCATTCAACCAGTCTTTTCTGGGAGGTCTGTGAGGTCCATCATCCTGTAGGTTCCTCTGGACCTCTGCTGCTGCTGACTGCTTTCCAGCTGCTTTAAAGGGGTATTCAGGAAAATATAATTTCTTCATGGAAATGCAATTAGACTGAGACGCTAAGACAGAAGAACTACCGTTTCTCTCCACTATGATGATTATTACTTCAAGGAAATGATAAAGTAATGATCATAAATGTTCTTCCTTGAGCTGCAACACCCCGCTGTAGTCTGTAATAGACTGGCCTGAGGTCTCACTACAAACAAGCCTTTGTGTACCTCCTCAGTGAAATATCATGGTCAGATCAGTTCAACAATAATCGCACAATCATGTCAACACACTACGGCCATCCATGACGCCTAATCCACTCAGCTATCCCAGGCTTACAGTCACCAGAGTATTATTCATTGTACATTTTGTTTCTTGTCTGCAGAGATGTGTTGCCCTTACCACTGGAGCTACCTGACGCCATCGCCAGAGCCACAACACACAGGCAACTGGAGGCTATTTCACACATGGGACAAGGTGCAGTGACTCCAGATCGCTCTTCTAACTGAGTTAGATATTTTACGTTTACTTTAGTTGGTCCACCTCTAGTCTGAATAGAAATATAGCACCCTAAAACCCTAAAATGAATGCTCCTGTGAGGAGTCTTTCCTTTTTCGACTGAAACTCACACTGACAAACAAGACCGTCAGGAACAAGATTGACAGTTAAAGTTCATTTTAAATACCTGAGATAAGTCGCAGCAAATCAAACTTTTACCAAAATACCAAAACTAAATAGCGATGTTGTCATAAAATGGTGCAAACGTACTTAAACGCACTTGATTTGATGAGATATACCAGGGTCAAAGCATCTCCACCATGATCTGAGTTGCTAATGCTAATCCAGCTACAGCTACTCCCACACTCCTGTTTCTGTTTACATCCCATGTCATATAGCAGTCAGCCTTTTCTTGGCATGCGGCTAAAGAATCAGATCTTACACTCTGTTTTGTCTCTAACTTTCAGATCTAGCGGTCTTAGCTAGCGTTGAACTGGCAGCAGTTTGCGCATCCTTGCTAGCTTGACGGTAGCTTCTCATTTTTGCTCACAGTCACTCTCATCTTTGTTACTTCTTCAGTGAGTTTGAGAAATTCAGCCGCAGAGATGTTTAAAAAGCCTTTCTTCATCATCAGCGAGTGTGAGAAAGTTGAGGAGGACTCGCAGGCTAAAGAAACCACCGAGTGACTGCCAGCTTGTATCTATTTTAGCATGGTAGCATGTACTGATACGACTCAGCAGCAGAGAGCGAGGTGTGACTTCGAGATGGCTAAAAATGACACGCAGTATGTGTCAGTGTAAAGATTCAACACTTTCTCTCCACACTTCTGCTCCTCTAGTAAAGCTACAGTGAAATATTAAAGACATTTTAAAGACGGCACTTTGATTTCTTGCGTCTAGGAACAGATATAAGCAGATTGGTTGGTCCGCTATTTTTAAATGCGTTCCTGAAAATCTATCTGAACTCTACCCCCAGATTTCTGGAACGCCCCGACTGCTTCGGAGATCCAAAATGGCCCGATTGACCTGGTTCCATCAACCAGCAGCAGCAGCCAGAAACCGCTAACCCTAGACCAGTGTACCCTGCTGACACGGGGCCGACAGGGCAAACTTTGCTTTATTAACCCACTCTTCCTACAGCTGGAGGTTGCCAAGGTTAGTAGTGGTTTTATGAGCTTCCATCCTAGTGGTCTTTATGGGAAGTCTGGGAATTATCAAGCAATAGAAGCGAATTTAAAAAGTGTGTGTGAGGTGTCTAAAAAGTTGACTTTATGATGTCCTTCTAGACCCACTTATCAGACTGTTTATATATTTACCATGCGCCTCTCACTCTACTTCACTCTCCTTGAAAAATAAACACCTCAAAAAGCCTTGAAAGTCCTTACAGCTTAACCATTGACTCATCTTGTCATTTCTGCAGCAGCCACAACTCGTAAACCACAGTGCCTCTAATAAACGGCACCGCTTCAAGCGCAGCATGCGGCTCCGGCTTTCCGAGTCCTCCATGAACCTGTCCCTGGAGGGCGTGGGCTCCTACTCCCCTCCCATGTCTCTGGAGCTGCCCTTCCAGTCAGAGAGGCTCCAGAAGGCTGGAACCAACCAACAGAGAAGAGTTCACCCAGGGGCCGGGGTCCTGAGGAGAACTCCCGCTGTTTCGCCTGGATCCACAGAGGAAGACGACATGATGCCGGTCCACATGCCCCAAGTAATTCATGCTAACATATTTGGATCTTTAAGGGATATTCTGGTGTAAAATTAATTTAGGGTCAAACACACCATAACACCGAGTTAGAGATAAATGTTGCCGACCGCTTGCTTCTCTAGTTATACCAACTTTAGTAACTACCGCACGATAGCAATACACAGCGGTCTGAGGAGCCATAAACAAACCTCAACCAAAACGCCACTCTATAGCCACAAATAATGCTCAGAACAGCACCTAACTTCATCAACAGGACATATAGGGTCCCAGCCATAGTACTAGCTGCCAAACATCTTTTTAACTTTGCCTGATTTCTTTAGCAAAGAGACTAAACACAACTCATCTACCCTCTTCCAGTAGTTACTTGTTGGTTGCGAGACAGCGGGGTGACGCAGCTCAAGGAAGAACATTTATGATCATTTCTTGCGATCAGACCGAGATGCTAAGGCAGAAGAACTACTGCGTCTGCAGTGCAAAATGAGTAATTTGGTGATTATTACTTCAAGTAAATGATAAAGAAATGATCATAAATGTTCTTCCTTGAGCTGCATCACCCCACTGTAGTCTGTAATTGAGTGGCCTAAGGTCTCGCTACAAACAAGCGTCTGCTGGAAGAGAGTGGGTGAGGTCCATCAAACTACAAAACAAGGACCTTATGTTGCTCCACACTGCAAAAACTCAGATCCTTGCATTAGCAAACTCAAAAGAAGACACAAAGACTTGACACGACCAAATTGACACCTTTTTCAGCACTCTGTAGAGCCTGGATAGCTCAGTCGGTAGAGCATCAGACTTTTAATCTGAGGGTCCAGGGTTCAAGTCCCTGTTCAGGCGAAGAATCTTTAGACGATAAAAGCTTTAAACAACAGCAGCAGCTCAGTACAAGAGATCAAGTTGTATAAACCACAAGTACTAACATGACCAAGAACTTGGAATAGCTGCGAGTAGTACCTCTCTCACTTCCTCACGCCAAACCCCAGAATGATCATTTCTTCATGGAAATGCGATCAGACCGAGATCCTAAAGCAGAAGAACTACAGCGTCTGCAGTGCAAAATGATTCTTGTGTTGATTATTACTTCAAAGTAATGATCATAAATTTTCTTCCTTGAGCTGCGTCACCCCGCTGTAGTCTGTAATGGACTGGCCTGAGGTCTGGCTACAAACAAACTTCTGCTGGAAGAGAGTGGGTGAGGTCCATCAAACTACAGAACAAGGACCTGATGTTGCTCCACACTGCAAAAACTCAGATCCTTGCATTAGCAAACTTAATAGAAGACACAAAGACTTGACACGACCAAATTGACACCTTTTTCAGCACCCTCCAGAGCCTGGATAGCTCAGTCGGTAGAGCATCAGACTTTTAATCTGAGGGTCCAGGGTTCAAGTCCCTGTTCAGGCGGAGAAACCTTTAGGAGGTAGAAACTTTAAACAATAGCAGCAACTTAGTACATGAGATCAAGTTGTATAAACCACAAGTACTTACACGACCAAGAACTTCGTATCATCATAAATGTTCTTCCTTGAGCTGCTTAACCCCGCTGTAGTATGTAATGGACTTGCCAAGGACTCACTACAAACAATGGGTCCTCACCCCATCAGACTACTTTGTCCCATTTTTGCCTGATATGTGCAGTCAGGGTAGATTAGTGCCAGGACTCTTCTACTACTGAGCCATGTTGTTGCAAAACCTGCAAGACATCCCCTGAAACAGGTATAGTCCTCTGATTTAAAAAGGTTTTACAACAGCATGGCTCAGAAGTAGAAGAGTCCTGGTGCTAAACTAGCCACAGAGGAAATGTCTTTTTTTCCCAGTTCCCCACATTTCTTGATCGTTTTTTTTTCTGATTTACTGACCAGGAAGTGACCTTTTTTTCAAAAATGTGTAGAATCTTGAATCCAGTGCTGTTGAAAAAATAACCTCTCTCATTCTTGTCAAGACATCTACAAAGGTGGAGGAGTCTTCTCAGCTCCAGCAGGCCGCCCAGAAAACCGAGCCAAGCACTGAGGTGACAGCTCTGGCCCTGGAACGCCGCCCAGCACCGTCCTTGGCTGAGCTCGACAGCAGCAGCTCCTTCAGCAGCATGGACGAGGACAATGACTCAGATTCAGATCCAGAAAGCATGGCTCGAACCCAATTTCACATGTATCCACGCCCACCGCTGGTGCGATCTCGAGGACGTGGTGGGCTGCACCGTATGAGCGAGGCGTTTGTGTGTTTCTTCGCTCCGGATAAGCGGCTGACGCGACTGGTGGAGGAGCTCTCCAGAGACAGGCGCTCTATCTTTGGGGGCATGGTTCAGGACTTCCTTCTGGCACAGAGGGAGGTGCTCAAATCCCTAGCTTCCTCTCCGTCCTCGACTTCATCACGTGTGACCTCTGTGCAGCTCCTGCAGGGTCTACGCCTCTTTTTGTCCCAGGCAAAGTGCTGCCTGCTGGACAGTGGCGAGCTGGAGCCTCCCATCGAAACCCTGGTGCCAGAGAATGAGAAAGGTAAATTAAAAACCTGTGTGACAAATGAGTAAATAGTAAATTAGGATCTGATTCCTGAAAACAGAGGGACTGAAAGCAACTGGTGGCTGACCTTGAAATTTCTTTCTATCTCGAAGGAAAAGGAACAAAGTTATTGAGTTTTACGGACATATGAACACTAGCTGAAAGTTAAAAGTAAAGTTAACTTAAGTCGAGTTACAGTCATAGTCTGATTTAAGTGGACTGCTATCCTTGTCCCAGACTACAAGCACCAGGCAAGATTCTGTTTATTGGCAGAAGCATGTGAACCTCCACTACACTAGGTGGCGACATGCCCCCTTTAAAATAGATGGTAGTTTCCAGAGGTGAGGACTTGACGACTCGACTTGAGACTCGACTTGGACCTGAGTCCCGTTTTTGACTTGCTTGATGAAATCAAGAAATAACTTGGACTCGCTTGGGACTTGATTGCTAAAGACTTGAGACTTGACTTGACTTGAGCCCAGTGACTTGAAAAGTCAAGTCACTTAATACCTTACAGGACTGAACATAAATTGAAAAATGCTCATGATTTATGTAAATCTTTACATATAACAAATGGTTTATGGCTTTGATATGACTTGTTTTTGACTTAAAAGAAACAGTAAGGACTTGGTTGGGACTCGAAGCAAAATTCCTAGGACTTGGTTGGGACTTGAAACAAAAAGTTCAGGACTTGGACTTTACTTGAGACTTGTCTGTGTTGACTTGGACTTGCCTCGGACTTGAGAGCAAAGACTTGAGACTCGACTTGGACTTGACTTGAGAGCAAAGGACTTGGACTTGACTTGAGACTTGTCTGTGTTGACTTGGACTTGACTTGAGACTTGTCTGTGTTGACTTGGACTTGATTTGAGACTTGAGCGCAAAGGACTTGGACTTGCCTTGGACTTGAGAGCAAAGACTTGAGACTCGACTTGGACTTGCAACATAAGGACTTTCCCCCACCTCTGGTAGTTTCACTTTTTAAATTACATTATGGGGAAAAAATGAACTTTTTCAGGACGTTGGAACTTTGTGAACTGCACCTGGATTTCAGTTCTTCTACAGGAAACCCTTAAAAACAAACCCATTAATATATTAAAAAAGTGAGCCGACACAGTTTAGATTGCAAAGATTGTTTAAAAAAAGCCTCTAAATCACATCTCTATGACGTGCTGGTTTACATATCCGGCTCCACCGTCTTTGAGTTTTCTCGTATGCATGCGTGATTAGTTTATCGCATCAAAACAAGGCAGCATCGAGTGCAGCGGGGGACTGGAGGAGAGAGACTGTACTATTAGAAAACACAAATTCAATAGAGCGCGGTGCCAAAGGACGCAGGTCTATGGAAACAGACAGCCTTTCTGATAAATGGTGGGCTGCCCAGGCTTTAGTGAAAGGCACTGTCAACACTAAGTAGTTTGCGTGGGGGGCCAGAGCCTCATTCAGTGGAGCTCATATTGTCTCTGGTATTTAGAAAACAGCATTAGGAAAGCCCTGCCTGACGCGCCTGCACTCACATCCATGGCGGAGTGTGATTCTTCTTCTTATTGTGAGGACGTCGCAGGGTGTTACTTTGGAAGGATTCGAGTTAGATCCTTTGACACGGTCCTGTGCGTAGGTTTTTTTTTTTTCTTTTTTGGTCTCCTTTTGTGTGCGGGCTGAGTTTGCGCTCCGCAGGTGTGTTTGTGTGTAAATGTGTGATGATGGATGGTTGCCTGGCAGTGCAGAGAGAGAGAGAGAGAAGGAGAGAGTGCTCGGCCGCTGCCTTCCTTCCTCCCTTCCTTCCTCCCTCCCGCCCTTTCTTCCTGCGCTGCGAGTCTGATTTATCTCGCATTGCGTCGGTGGGAGGCATTTGCATTTTTTTTTTCTCCCCCTCGTTTATCATAAAAAGATATCACCGTCCCACGCTCACTTGAAGAGCAGCACGATTCAGGCGAGGGTGGGAGGGAGGGATAGAAATAGGAAGGATACTCATAAAATGTAATCAGTTACAGATCTCTGGGTGATAGCTTAAAAAGTCTGCTTTTTTTTCACCACGGGACGGGAACTGTGAAAACTGTAATCGCATTACAAGTAATCCGTTACTCTCCTGAGCTGGGAAGAGAGAGAGGCATGCTGGGAGGAGGGGGAGGAGGATGGATGATGTGAATGATGAATCACAGGGGGCTATGATATAGTAAGGTAGATAGGGGGAGATGTTGGGGGACTATACGGGAGGGATAACGAAGGATGGAGTGGAAGAAGAGGAGGATATTGATGATGAGTGGAAAAACAGTGAGCGCTGGAGGATTGTAACCACTTAGTCAGGACTGCCCACTGACTGCAGGAGACTCACTGTTTGTGTGTTTTCACGTGTGCGTGTGTAACGTATCCACAAGTTTTGTTGTTGCCAGGCAGGCATGAAAAAAAAAAAAGAAGTGCATCCATACTGCTCGTTTATCAGGCAAAACAAAGAGCGGGGCGTTAGCTTGGCGGCTCCACATTAGAGACCATAGACTGTATATACTATGAACAACTTGGTTCCGCCTTCCGCCAGGGATTTGAAGTCAAAAAGCTCTCGCCAATTCCGCGTTCGGGAGAGTCGCCGAGAGTCGCTGTGATGACGCTCGACTCAAACAGTGTATCCCCCCCAAGGTGAGCCACGCAATCCCTGAACACCCATAGGCTGTATCAAGTGTCAATCACAGAAAACATGAACCCCCTAATAACCAATCTTACTGTAACTACATGTCAACATCGTTTACATGGGGCATTCACATGTGGAGTCCGTCATTTTATCCCGAGCGCAGGTGGGCACGCCCCGCGCCGAACCCCTGCAGAGGGCTCCGCGGCCGACCATAGCAGATGAGAGCTGTCGAAATGACGGGACGTTTGATAGCATGGTAACATACCGCCACCCCGACAATTAGAGACCAATGGCGGGATGTCGGAATGGCGGTTTCCCCCCGTCAACATCGCAAGGAGGGGGGAGAAAAATTTGTATTCTGTGTTATAAATTTGTAAAGTTTGTCCACAGCTCCATAGGGATTGCTGGAGGAGGCAGGATTTGTGGCCTATACTACAGCCTGTCACTAGAGGGTGCTGTTCTCGGAGTGGCGAGAAGGCAGACGGCGTCCATTCTATATACAGTCTATGTTAGCGACACTGTGCGTGATTTAAAAAAGACACACACACAAGACATTAAAAAAGGCTTTAAAACAAGGCCGTAAAGTGAACGAACTTATCGCTAATATCTAACTGATTAGTTCAGTTACGCCACTGGACACAAGCCAAAAACTATGGTAGTGCCAAATCTGCTAATGAGTTTATCATAAAGCATCTTAAAGGTGAGGAAGGCAGGATCTGAGGAAGAGACAGTTTTTAGGAGAAATCTTGAATGTAAACTCTACCCCTCCAAACCAGTTTTCCCCTCAGCTCCTCCTCTCCCCTCCCTCTCTGCTCCAGCAAGCCCCGCCCACAAACAGACGCTCCTGCTCACTCAAATCATTTCAATTAACTTCAGATATAATGCAGATAAATACTTTAGATAATTACAAATGGGGCCCAGTCAAGGTGAAAGTCAAAAGCATTGGTGCTACTGTAGATGCCAACAGACTACCAGCAAACACAATGTTTGCAGGACTTCTGCAACTAGGATAAAGTGACATAGTCCAGGACCCGAGGTCAACAGTTTAGCGGCGCTACAACACGCTACAGCAGGTCCGTTTGACAAGAAACACTTCTGTCACAGACACTTGTCTTACTTTGTTAAAGCGGTTTACCTGTCCAGCAGAAAGGTTACAAGGTCACCAAGATCCCGAAGCGTCCTCCATCTTCATTGATGTTGACCCGGCTTTTTTAGCTCTTGTCGGGTCTACCTCCTCTCTAAGCGCCCGTTATTCCACCAGAGTCTCCGGTATTTACTTTGTTTTCTTGCTTGTGTTGGCAGTCATAGCCAAAGGAGAATTCAGACCATTTTCTGTATTTTCTGGTTGGTTTCTACTGTCCGATATTGTAGCATGCTAACTTTGTTTGGGCTCATTCATTCTTTAAAAATGCCCTCAGGTCCCTCTTATCCACGTCATGGTTAAATGAGCCGACTCGAAACTGTCTGACTCCAGATATATTTTCATTTTCTAATGTTTAACGGTTCAGAAATACTCTTTTTCTCAAAAGGCTGGACATAAAACATGAACGCCTGTGCAAATGATGCAACCCAACGCAGCAGCCGTGCAAGAAATCCCACCTTTAAATCGCTAAAATGTTTATTTTCGTCAAAAGTGTTGGTTCGAGGCGTTTTATGCACACTTCCATCGCAGTGATAAGCATACCTGTCTGTCTGGGCCTTTTGCCAGTGCCTCTGGATATGTAGACACATCCTCAACTTGTGAATGATGAAATAAGCAAATCCAAAAGCAGATCTCGTCTCTCACTTTCATTGTCGTCCCTCTGTCCTCAGATCTGGCGCTGGAGCGAGCCATCTTCTCCTGTGTGCTCAGGCCTCTGAGGTCCTGCCTGGATAAAGCTCTGGTGGAGTTGCACAATCAAGACGGCTCCAGCCAGCGTCTCACTCAAAACCTGCTCCGTCTGAGGGGGGACGCAGCCATGGAGCGGCTCGGCGTACGGACGGGCGTCCCCGACAGCCGCGAGGTGGAGAGGGTGAAGCAGAAGCTTATCCTGATGCAGCGGACGCACTCGCCCATCGACAAGGTGCTGCTGCTGCTGCAAGTCTGCAAGTGCGTCCACAAGGCCATGGGGTCCTTACACGGTGAGTCAACAACAGAGGAGAGCGTCTTCTCACTTTGGACAGCTCTGCACTTCAGACATATTGAGACTGTGAGATCCGCACTAGACCTGTCTGCTTCTCATCACGACCTGCTGCGGATAGGAAAAAAAATCAATGTGTTATTGTGTCCGAACAGTTGGATATTGTGTGAAAATCTGGAACGGGTGTACAACAACTTATTTCAGATCTCTAAATGAGTCTCTTCTGGAGCTGCTCTGATCCAAATCTAAACTCCCACAGTCGCCTAAACATTATTTTTTTCACATGATGTTCCAAATTTGTCCCGTTCCTCATCTTTTATCACAAACATTAAAGGGATATTCCGTCATTAAATTAAGTTAGGGTCAAACACACTGTAACACCGAGTTAGACACCCCCTCAAGAGATGAATGTTGCCATCTCTAGTCACGACCACACGATAGCAATACACAGCGGTCTGAGGAGCCAGTTAGCTAACTAGCTAGCACATGGATTAGCATTTTGGGGTTTAGCGTCAGGAAGTGAGCTGGCTGTTATTCAACTTCCTGTTTGTGACAATACTTGCAGTTCATACAATCTGATGTCATGTACTGAGCTACCACTATTGTCTAAAGGTCACTATTGTTTTAAAGGTAAAGATTTGTGTCGCCTGAACAGGGACTTGAACCCTGGACCCTCAGATTAAAAGTCTGATGCTCTACCGACTGAGCTATCCAGGCTCTGGATAGTGCTGAATAGCAATACAAACAGTTGCGAGGAGCCACGCTCAAACCTCAACCAAAACACCACTCTATAGCCACAAATAATGCTCAGAACAGCACCTAACTTCATCAACAGGACATACAGACTGCAGCGGAGTTTCGCAGCTCAAGGAAGAACATTTATGATCATTTCTTCATGGAAATACAATCAGACCGAGACTGTAAGACAGAAGAACTACCGCGTCTGCAGTGCAAATTGATTAATATGGTGATTCTTACTTCAAGGAAATGATAAAGTAATGGTCATAAATGTACTTCCTTGAGCTGGACACCCCACAGCAGTCCGTTAATGACTGGCCTGAGGGCTTGCTACAAACAAGCAGCTGCTGGAAGAGAGTAGGTGAGTTGTATTTAGCCTCTTTGCTAAAGAAATTGGTATAACTAGAGAAGCAACCGGTCGGCAACATTCATCTTTTGACGGGGTGTCTAACTCAGTGTTACTGTTTGTTTGACCCTAAATTAATTTTACGCCTTAATATCCCTTTAATAGGCGTTAAAATGTGAAGCAGAAGAGCACAGGTTTAAACACTCCATCTCTCATTCTCTTTTCAGGACAGGAAGTGGGCTGGGATGACTTCCTGCCGTCGCTCTCATACGTGCTTGTGGAGTGTAACAGGCCTCACATCCTGATCGAGGTGGAGTACATGATGGAGTTGCTGGAGCCATCCTGGCTCGGAGGAGAGGGTGAGACCTGCTCTCAGAGGTCATTTCATTTCATTTATTTAGATCTTCATTAGCTTTAGCCAAGGCCATCCCTGTTCTTCCTGGAGTCTACATTCACAATTAGCTCTCTAAGGATAACCCTTTTATTCTTTGAATCAAGGTGGGTACTACCTGACCAGTGTGTACGCCAGCCTGTGTCTGATCCAGAGCTTGGACCGCGAGCAGCCGATCTCGGGCTGCCTGACGCCGGAGGCCCAGGACGCTCTGAAAGAGTGGAGCAGCAGACGCAGCCGAGAGGCTCAGAGACAAAAAGAAAGCATGCAGAACCAAGTAGGTGTTCTCCAGATGTTGTGATCGTAGTAGTGCTCCTCGGAAACACTGGCGGTGTTATAGTATGTGTGGGTTTGTGGAGTGATCTACTTTATAGCTGCCACACATAGCTGCCCAGTGTGAAGTGCTGATTGATGCGCAGACAAAAGGAACTCCTGCTTATTATGCAGTGAAACAGTTCTATGGGACACTCTCCACGGTACTCAAAGAGTGACAGCATGTAAAAATAAACAAGGAAACGTGACGTTTTCAGTCTAAATTTGTAGTCCGTGACGAACCATATGTTTCCCATCTCTTCTTTTAAACTGCATGTTGCGGCGTTTGAGAGCGTTTTCCAATTACATGCGAAGTGATGCCGTAAAGAGAAGAGTGGGGCAAAGCTTTCGAAAACATATGCTGGAACATGAAATTGGTTTCAGGTGGCTGAATGTGGATCAAAGGCTGTAAAATACTACAACCACTTATGTAATGTTGGTTACCAGCAGCAGTTCCTCACTGGCCTTTATTGGAGGTGTTACCAACGGGGGCCAAAGAGTGTTTTCCAAATAGTTTCTCCTGGTGTTTATTTGTATCTCCATTAACTGTTGCCGTAGCAACTATTGCTGGGGTTTTTTGGTGGTTGTGTATTGTTTTAGATGGAGTTTGTGCTGTTTTACTCCACCAAAGTAATTACACCAAACTGGGGAAGGTATGGTGAAACAACTCTTTTTAAAGTTTTTCATTATTTTTCAATATTTCAAATATTTTAAAAATTCTTTGTTGTCAAGGAAAGTTAATAATAAAAGTAAATTGATACATAAAAGAACTTCACTCATCCTCAAAAGGAACTTTAATTTGATTGAACACTTTTAAAAACACTTTTGTCTTGAAGACTTTTAAGATCAACAGCATTTTTTTTTTTTACAGTTGAGAATATATCATGATATATTAATGTACATCAAACTATCTGTTAGTTTATAAAGTTAGAAATAAACAAAAATTTTGACTGGGAAACATGTTTAAGGACTTTCACTGAGCGCTAAGATTTTCCTTGGCAGGACTTAAAACTGTGAGTTTTGTTCTATAAATGTCAGATTAGCTTCTGCAAAGCTCCTTTTTTAGGGGTCTACCAGAATATTTATGGTTTTAGTGTTCTTCCCTCAAGTAGCAACCTACATTTAATGACCTTTCCCTAAGACCATTCTTCTTTCTCCTCACTTTGTGGAGATCGCACTATAGGTCCATGATTGCTATATAAACGAGGTTCAGAATAATTACCAATCTCTCCAATCGTCAACCAGGCCTTTAAACACAGAAAAATCCAATTTTTAACTGATCAGTCCTTTTAAGTCAGGAATTCAAATAAATTCATACTGTCTATATAGACTACAAAAACTACTTATAACTGTAAAAGGTTTTTTACAACGACAAAAAAAGTTCTTTTACTGTTCAACATTCCGAAGATCAAAGAAATTTAATGACAAAAAAGATCAAGGAAATTTAATGACAAAAAAGTTCTTTTGCTGTTAAACATTCCGAAGATCAAAGAAATTTAAAATCAAAGGCACTTTTTTAAATTTAATTTTTTTTTAACAGTTGGTAGAACATCATGATATATTTCTGTAAATCAAACTACCTGTTGGTATATAAAGTTAAAAATAAATAAAATTTTTGACAGGGGAAAAAATGTTTAAGGACTTTAACTGAGCGCTGAGATTTTTCTTGGCAGGACTTAAAACTGTGAGTTTTGTTCTATAAATGTAGGATTAGCTTCTGCAAAGCTCCTTTTTTAGAGGTCTACCAGAATATTTCTGGTTTTGGTGTTCTTTGCTCAAGTAGCAACCTACGTTTAATGATCTTTCCCTAAACTCCGAAACTGAAATCGTTTAAAGCAGACACCTGAAACCAACGCTTTCCGTCCTTCATATCTTATTCTTTTCCGCTTTTAAAATTATTTAAGTCACAAACTGCAACAGAAAATGGTGATAATCCATCCAAAGAGGTCAGATTTTACATTGATTACACTGATGGCATTGTGGACTGAGCCACGCCAGATTATCCGACACTCAGGGGATATTAGCAGGTGGGTTAAAGGGGGGGGAGTCTGACCCATATTTGAATCTCAGGTATTACAGAACCTGTTTGGGAGGTTAAGACTGTTACATTATTTCAGGGGTAATGCAAAGAGGTTTCCAGTTGAACCAAAGGTCACCCATCAAAAGCCAGACACAACAACTGGATTTCCCTCCTTTGCCCGGAAACCGTTTGAACATTCATTTCAGGGGATTACTTTTTAGATATCTTTTCAGACTAATCCGCCGGTGTGGCACCGCCAGCTTATGTCAGGGCATCCACTAATGCTCACGCACACTTTGACATTTACCTACACTCTCCTATCCTCGCTCCCCGGCCCCTAGATTGGTAAACCGGTCCGCCAGATGCCATGGAAAAAAAGGCATTGTCATCCACAACGTTTCTGTCTCGTCACGTGGTTCCTCTCCTGGCTTCAAATAGCCGATCTAACTCACCCGGCAGCCAGATTTTCCACTGACACAGGCGGGGATCAGTGAGCCAAGTGCTATGAAGAAGTGGGCGGTCAGATAACATGAAATTTATTGAGCCGCATCTACCCATCGAAGCAGGCAAACACAATATGCACACGGACAGCGAGGAGCTCAGTGACTCTGTAAGTTTGATGATGGCAGACCTGTTGATTCTAATTGATGGTTGTGTGTTTTTTCCCTCTTTTTTTAAAGGGCGTTTTGAGCACTCTTGCATGTGTGTGTCGGTGGGGTAGTTGTGCGCTCGGATAGGCTCTGTGGCGTGTGTGTGTGTGTTTGTGAGTGTGTGTGTAACTCCTTAAGGCTGAATGTTTGGATAAAAGGATTTTTTTGTTCTGTATGTTTTCATTGTGTGTATTTTAAAGAGAGTTGTGAGGGCGTCTGTAGGTGGCTGAATCCATTATTATATAATCGCTCAGGTACAGCACAATTGCCGGTAAGTGTTTGAAGAGTGGCGATTGTTTAGACAGAGGAGTTATTTTGCGTGTTTGATTGAAAATGTCGGAAAAGTTGAAGTTTTGGCTTTGGAAGCGGAAGGGAAACTTTGCCAAAACATCAGAGTGAGAGTGGATTTTTACGGATTAGATGAGAACAGTTTGGATGTGGATTTTTTTTGATTTATTGAAGCGGTGACATACAAGAGAGAGAGAAAAAGCATTAAGAGGTGATTTTATCTGCAGCTCTCGGACCTGCTGGTTGTGTGTGTGGGAAGCAGGAGCTTTGTTTTCAGGGAGAATATCTTTTATGAACATGATTTGGGTTCATTTGTTGTAGTGGATTATCTGCCTGTGCGCCTGCACGGCTCTCACTCCTCCTCTGGCTCCATCTCTCTCCTCCCCCTCTTTTGCCCTCACTCCATAAGCCTCTTGACCTCTGTTTTGCATGAATACAGTATATATTCACTCTTTTTTTCTCTCTCTCTTTCTCTCCTCTCCCTCCTCTCCCCTCCCCTCAGAGGTGCGTTCGGATACTGTTCCAGGACGGGGAGCGGAGCGCCGTGCGGACGTTGCAGTGGAGAGCCGGTGAAACCAGCCAGGCCCTGGCGCAGCTGTGCGCCTCCACTTTCGGAGTGTCCGACCCGCAGCAATACACCCTGTACTGGCGCAGCGGCGGCGAGATGCGGGCCCTGCCGCCTCAGGCCCAGCCCCAGGACCTCGCCAGCCACAGCGAAGGAGGCCCCTCGCTCTCCTACCTGAGGACCGACCACGACTTCAGCAAGATGCGGCGGCTCACTCGAGGTGGCGCCGTGGACCTGAGCGAGTCGGTGTGTGAGGAGTGAGTGGGAGGAATGGAGGGAGGAGGGAGGAGGAAGGAGGAGGAGGAGATAGATGGTTGCGCTCGCTTTCTCTCTCTTTCTCTCTCTCTTGTTCTGTCTCTTTCTCTCCGGCGGTGTGTTGTGTCTCATCGTGGGTCAGGACTTGTTGTGGAAAAACCTCAGCCCTCCTCCAGACCAGGAGCAGACCTTTGACGGTAAACTCTTCCCTAAACGGACCAACACGCAGAGCTCAGCAGGACCAACACAGGGACTGTTGCCAAAAAGTTGTACTGTGCGGCGCTCAGTGTGGCCGCTGCCGCCGCCATCGCCGCCGCCGCTGCTGCTGTAAAGGAGTGTGCTATTTGTGACATGGAAAATGTGTAATAAATGGATTTGATTGTAATCACAAACATGAACCCAGAGTTATACCATGAAGGGATTGCATCATCCAAACGTGAGGAGGCTCAAATCCAAAGACAAAATTCTGTGAGACTACTGTTGCCTGGAAACAAAACCACTTCCTGTACGCACAGGAGAAGGCAAACGGTCCACCGCCCGCCACCGCGGTGATGTAACCCTTTCACTGTATAGTTCTGGGCCAAATCTTAAAGACGCTTGGATGTTTTCTTTCTTTACTTTTCTGTGTTTAAAGTCCGCTAAATCTTGATGGAGACCAACCTTTGAATACAGCTTGTCAAAAAAAAAAAAAAGGGTGAAACAGCCAAGACCAAACCTTAAAACCAAAGTGACGGAGAGAGCAGAAGAGAGAGAGAGAGAGAGAGAGAGAGAGAGGCCGTTTTTTTTTTTTTTTTTTTTTTGATTCAACAGGTGTTTGCTTTGAGAGAAATCAGGTTCACGAGCTTAAAGGAAGGTTTTATTTTTAGACTCACCCACAGAGACGCTATTTATTTTTATGTTTCGAGAAAAAAAAAAAAAAAAAAGCACAGCTCTCCTCCTTTCTCGCGTATTCTATTAAGTGTTTTGGCAGGTGGAGTAATGAGCGAGTAGGAGGGAGGTGATAGAAAAGCATCAGCTCTGTGTTTTTTAAAAACCATGTGAGAGAGAGAGAAAAAGAAGCATCACTTCGACGCTCTGAGATAACCTGCAACAGATTTGCTGAATGACTTGCGAATGTATTCAGATTTTTTTTCTTTTTTTTTTGCCTGTTGGAATTGAATCCTTTCACAAACACAATCATTTCATGTTTCCGACCAACTGCTTTTGAGTTCTTCTGTTTCTCTTGGCTGCCGTGTAAAGAAAAAAAACGGACTTTGAGGACAGTTGGACCGATGAACCGGCGCCTCAGCGTGCCCGGTTGAATGTAAATCTTACAAAAGTCACCAGCTCCTGGCGACTCCTGCTGCAATCATCACCCGTCACCAGACTGTTGAACCCGTGTCACCCCTCCATGATCATATCGTGTATTTAAAAGCTAACTTTGACTTTGTTCAATTTGTTGGGTAGATATCAAACCTAAGTATGGATTTTCAACAGTTTTTAACCAGCTGAGGAGGTTCGTTTTCGAGAACTTTGATGTGTTTTGGACATTATTGCATGCTTTATTTCATTTTAACGTAAAGGTTTCTGCGAATGTGGCGTGTATGTGTGCGTGCGCGTGAAGCATGTGTTCAATGTGAGAGCTCACTTATTTCTTTTCAGTGTGGAAACACATATCTGTATTTTTTTTGTCAGGTAACTCAGTATCGCAATAAAAAGATTGCAATATCTGGTCACAATGTCGTTCCAAACACTGTGGGTTTTGTGGGAGCTGGGAGGTGATGTCTTACGCAGACTCCACCACCAGGGGGCAGCAGATAACAAGAATTTATTTAGACGTGTTTTATTTGGTCAAGGTTTGCAATTGATTTATTTAAATGTCAAAAAAGCATATCTGACACCTTTTTTAAAATGTTTATTAGCATGTCGGAGAAGATTTATTTTAAGGCTCTGAGACAGAAATGACTCCTCTCACAGTTGGACTTTATTCCATAAACAACAACCATGTTCCCTCAACAGTTTTACATTTTCAGTCGCTATAATCCGGTTGCATAAAGTCCCTTAAATTCACTGCAAGGTTTGAGATTAGCTATCTCTGAAAACACTAAAATACAACCAATTTCTCTATCACTCTATAAAAAATATCCTGTTGATTCAATAGGTCCCGAATATTCAGGTATTTACGGTAATTTGGCCATTGGGAGGGGGTTGAAAAGATGCTCCAAAAATGTTTAAGATATCTGTGTTTTTACGTCAATTTTATCTGACTCCACCTCCCAGTTTCTGCAGCACGCCCAGGCCTTTCTCGTCGTACTCCTGCTTCGACAGCCAGAAGGTGTCCTTGTCTTTCATGATGTTGGCCAGCACGGCTCCGCCCAGGAACACCATGTGTTTACGCCGGGGAGGGTCCTCGATGCGGATCTTAAACTTCTACGAAAGTGACGGAAAAGAGGCAAATATTCAGTGTACATGTTTATGCTATTATCACCCTTAAGGTCCTTACACACCGGGGCCGACGCGGATATAGAACACGAAATTACGAAATATTTGGAGGTGAATTTTGACAGGCCTGACTGTACATATCAAGCCCGATGCAATTTTGTGACTTTCGGGGGGAAAAGACGCAGCCAAACAGTCAGGACTTATAGCCAATCAAAGGTGATAAAATAAGCACATGAAACTATGGTAACAACCGTTAGCATACTTTAGCACAGATGAAAGTTAAAACAAAGACATTTAGCAAACTGTTAAAGCACAAAAACCATCGTCATATGAGAAATCCAACACTATGTTGTCCTTCGGGTCATTATCTTTGTAGTGTTTGTGTCTTTTATCAAAACGCACTCTGTTCTCCGACACGTAAACAATCAGCCGGTCGGCCATGTTGGATATACCGGTGAATCTAACATCGCAACAACACGAAATCTGATTGGTCAGAAGTGGACACACAGTATGCAAAACTTTAGAAAAATCGACCGTGATCCGAAAAAATAAATGCCGCAATATCGCAGGACGGGAAAACGTCGCTGATGTGAACGCTTGTATTGACAGGATACAGGTTTGAAAAAATTTATCACGCGACAAAAACGGTCGCGGTGTGAAAGGACCTTAATATTTGCATAGAATTATGATAGTATGATAACCATGATAACAGCTGTTTTGGGGTATCTGGAGCCAGATAGGTTGGGCTGGAAAAAACCAGGGCTTTGCAAACCTGAAGTTGGCTAGCACCAGAGCTAGCTAGCCTAACTCGCTTTATACAACATTGCTTAATTGTAACTGTGATACCAAATTTGATTCCAATCTATGCTAGCATAAACAGGCTCACTAAAAATGTACCGACTAGAAAACAAGCATCCAACCCTTTTGTAAAATTTGCATGTTTTAAACTCCTGTAAGGAATTTTAGGTCTGTGTTGATTTTGGCGCCTCCTGTGGACAAAGTTGTCTTTGCACTTCGGACGAATAGTTGGTGTTCTTGACAAATAATCTGACAACCACTCCCCGCCAGCTGTTTCGACACTAAAAATCAATTTATAGGAACAGAGACTCTTCATTTTAATGGTTTTGTTAACTTTTTAAGACACAGTAGACCACTCTGAAAGTCCTCACAGGAGCTTTAAGTAAAACTGAGTGTGAAGCAGTGTGTTATTAATGGTAGTGACTCTTAAAGCATTCCCTATTTTTTAATTTTTTAAAACCTTGGATTGGGCCAGATATCTTAGATAAAGCTATAAGTCAGATAGCTTAGGATACCTCGGCTATTTTTATACTTAAATTTGTCTTAAATTTAACCAAACTCTCCTGTGATTGAACCTTTTCAACAGTTTATCATCCACCTATTTTCAATCATAATCCTAAAGACTGTGTAAACCAGTGGGTCTCCTTTTCCAAAAATGTATTAACTTTACAAGGACTTTAAAAGAATATTACATCATTTCTTTGTAAGATTTATCATATTAGTGGAAAACATATAATTAAAGCTTTAAGGGTGATGCTACAGATTATATTGCTATTTCAAAGGGTTATCAAATGTATTTAAAGGTATCAAAGCGTATCAAGAGTTGTGCAACATCTTATTTAACGTCCTGTATTTTTAAATTGCAGATTATAAAAGAGTTAAGCTCCTCTGTATCTCTCTACACTGAAGCACTTCTTACCGATAGTTTCTGTGTGTCTCCATCCAGCACTCTCTCCAGGTACAGCTGCTTGATTTCTCTCTCCAGCCTCGATGGAAGGCCAGGGTACATGGTGGTCCCTCCCGACAGGACGATGTGCTTATAGAAATCTGGCCTGAACACAAAGGTAATATAACAGGGTGAGAAATGATGTGCTTTGTGTGTAAATACAGTATTTAAAAAGGCATTAGTAAAGACAGAAGTGGGCAGACTCAGACCTGAGGTCAATGTCTGCAGCCTGGATGGTGTTGAACAGCAGCTCAGCCACTCCTGCCCCCTCAATGTTGATGAGATGAGGCTGGAAGAGAGCTTCAGGGGCTCCGAATCTCTCACCTCCCACTTTCACCTGCCGCCCGTCTGGAAGCTGCATCATAGGAAGAAATCAGACCAATGAAAATCTAAACATTTCAGATTTAAAGCTCCAGTGGGGAGTTTTTAATGTAATGAAATCGACTAAAATTCATATTTATAATCTACACAAGCCGATAAAATCATTAGTGACAAGATTGGCAACTTTTATATTGTAATTTTTAATATCTAAGATTGGTGAAAGCAGGAGGGGGCCAATGAAATAGCTCCCCTGCTGTCTGACAGGCCGTTAAGCTTGGCTCCATGTAAACAGATGGGACATATGTCAAACTTTAAAATCAAATTTCACATCAAATACATTTTTCCCAGACATGCTGTCTGTCATTATGGCTAGTTCTTGATGTGCTAATTCTTATACAAGTGTTTTTTTGGAAAATGACACACTTAGATGAAAAAATCAGATATGTGTCACATATGGTTAAAAAATCGGAATTGACCTGCAGTGTGAACATGGCCAAAGTGGGGGATTATTGTGGTTTGTGGTAGCTTTACAAGATTCCTAAATTCAGACTTTGTCGGAAGTGATTCATTTTGGTTACTCCAGCTCAGCCCTCTAGAAGCCTCCCCCACTGTTGCCAAGCTACAAAGTTGTGTTTCTTTGTTTTGTTTTTGACAAATTCTATGGTCATACATTTTGGACGCCAAATCTGACTTTGGAAAGGGACAAATAAATCCAGAGCAAACAAAGGAACGTTTCTGTCGGGTAAATGCTATGTTTATTATGTTCTTTAAGGTGGATTCGCAATTGGTGACATCACAAATTGAGCAGAACATTGCCCAACTTTAATGTGTTTTGGCACAGACTCTTTTCTACCCCTTTTGTAAATCGTTTCCCTCCCACAACATACCATGAACGTCTCCACCAGAACGGTAGTCTCTGTAGCTAGGCGTTGTTCCTGTTCGATGTTGTACCCCACATAGCAGAGCTTCTCTTTCAGCATACGAACAGTCTCAAAGTCAGCCGTGTGGTTGAAGGCGTAGCCCCGGAGAAGCAGGAGCTAATTACAGGAAAATAAAAATCTAAATATACACCAATCCAGATTTTGTCATTTATCCTTTCATGCAGGTTTAGGAACAGATAAAGGAACAGAGGTTTCCCATATTTTCCAGGTACAACCGAGTCTCACTTTTATGAGGTAGCGTGTGATATCACGTCCTGCGATGTCCAACCTGCGTGTGAGGTGGGGCAAAGAGTAGCCCTCATACACCGGACAGATGTGGGTGACACCATCCCCTGAGTCGATGACTACACCTGTCAGCAAACCTGCAAACAGAACACAGATCAAATAATCAAATAATCAGATTTAACATAGCACACGGTGTAAAGATGAGAAGGTTGAGTTTCGATGTGATACCTTGAGCGTACAAAGTCAGCACAGCCTGAATTGCCACATAAATGCTGTGGAACTGGTACTTCTCGAACATGACCTCTGTGATCTTCTCTCGGTTCTTGGTGGGATTCATGGGCGGCTCAGTCAGCAAGATCTTGGAGAAGGAAAAATTCAGATTAAACACAGATGTACTCTTATTTTAAAGTGGGTTTTGCTAGTGTCAAAGAAAATTTAACAGCAGTAATAAAACTCCCTCTTTACATTTTTTATTCCAATTTATAAAAACACAAACACTACAACACTGGGGCTTCTATGTTCCCACCTTGCACTCTTTCGGGTCGATGTCCAGGCGGTCAGGGCCAAAGGTGTGGTCCCACAGGTGGAGCATGTCGTCCCAGCAGCGCACCATGCCGTTTTCCATGGGATAGGACACCTCCAGTAAGGAGCGACATTCGCTGGCCTCATCACCCACCATCAGGTCCTGGTGATTATTGTAGAAAATCAATCTTTATAAGGACTGAAAAACTTTATTTTATTATTTATTAAAGTCCTGCGTTAGAAAGAAATGTTTATCCCATTTGTGGCTGCCGTCAATGTTTGCCTTTGTACGTGTTGATAAATTCGTATTATAATTGACTTATTTTTTTACATTAATATCAACATTTGTCTCTCTGTCATTCTTTGAAATGTCTAACAGTTTGCTGTTTGATAAGGACAAGCGTCTGATTGATCCGTCCTTAAACTGAACCGTGTTGCTGCAGGTGTAAAGCACTTACTGTAAAGGAGAGGAGGTACAGTAGGTCAGGTGTTTAATGAGCTGAGCAAGTCTTACAGTGTGCGTCTAGACACAACAGACTGTCAGTCACTTTGCTTTAAATAGAATACAACCACATGGTGACAGTGGATGTGGGAGTAATGAGATCCTTTAATTAGGGAAACCAATGGCACACTGTGAAATACATCCCACTCTGAGTAAAAGTCCTGTAGTCTAAATTTAAACAAGGTAAAAGAGTAAGGAGATTAAGGAGATTTATTTAGATATCTTTAAATTTGATGGTAAATGTTGCTTTTACTAGACTGAAAATCATGACTAACAATGAAGTCAACGTCTTCAAACAAAAAGCTGAATACTATCATCAATTTTCTCTCAATATCCAATACATATAGATGTATTGAGGAATGGTGGTACATTGGTTTCGGCCACCATGGTTTAGTGAAAGAGAATAGAGAGGGGGTCGTCTTTTTGCTTAATATAACCTTACCTTTATTTCAATGTTGCCCACTTTGGTGGTCGATCGTATGATTGGTCGACCCACCATGGCCGGAAAGATGTGTTCGGGGAAGTTGGATCCGGCAAAACCACACTTGACGAACTGAAATAGGAAGTAGGACTTAGGTTTTTTTAAGTTCTCATTTTTGTGAGTCAAATAAAACTGAGCATTTACTTTCGTAGCCATAAATTGAACCATGTGAATTGATTGTATTCTTTCATAATCACTTGTGTGGATCATTTCTGTGAATCCCTACACTTGGCTTGGTCTGCATACTTGGAAATTCTCCAGAGTTTATCATTAGTATGCATTTATACAATTCTTCTGATTTATTTATTTTTATTCTATCACTCTTTTGACATCATGTGGGATCACTCGTTCGCCAGCACAGAGAAATACATGTTGCGAAGCTTTCAGATGCAGTTCCCCACACACTGTCTCATCCTCTGCCTGCCATGACTTCAGCTCATACTGCAGTGTCTCAACATGTTTTTGTGACCACCGTGCACATTCCTTAGCCTGCAGGGATACAATGCATTCCAAGCAAAAGGGTAAAATATAGACCCAGCTGGCCCATGAATACAGGTGTGGTTCATATCTCATGTCGATTCTGACTACAACGCATAGAGTTGAACATTTAAATGCCACAATCAGAACTAAAGATGCACTCATGACCTTTTAGTTCCCCTAATGTCTCTTCCTACTGTTTATCCAATTGCTACTCAGTTCAAAGCATCACAGCCTTTTATGGCGGTGTGTGCACCTTAGAGGCAGAGCAACAAGTCCAGACAGATGTGGGATCAGGCAGGAGTATGCAGCACAGATTCACACCCTGCAGATTTGAGTTGATCCAGAGGTAAACTTCTACCAACTGAAATGCAGTTCTGTTACACATCTGGTGTATGTTTGCATCAAAAATCATTGCAATATCTTTTTGATAAGACGCTTGATTCCACTGTAAAGAAGAAGCAAAGCTGTTAAAGAGCGGGCAAGCATTCTGTATAAAACAACATAGACACTTTCGACCATTGACTTACCCCTGTCCCATTGTCACAGACCACTACTTTTCTCCCCTCGCTGTCCATGCTGAAACAAACACTGTAAACGACTCAAGATATTCCCTCCTGTCAGGACAGGGGTCTCACCGAAACAGAACCGATTCTCATGGATTTAGAAATGACTGCAACTGACAGGTAGGCTGACGTCCTCTTGGTTCTCCTGCAAGCCTGGGCGGGGCAAATGATTCTGGGTATGCCTATTTCCTGAGGCCGAGGGGGAGGTACTAGACACATTTTTCTTTCCTCTTTTGAAGATGGTTTTGCTCTTTTGAAGGACAAATTTACTTAATGCTTTTAAGAGTTAATGTCATCTTAAGCTTACCTGCGGTGTATTTGATCCAAGAGTAGTTAAAATGACACCACACACTCCTTATATTTCCACTTCTTGCTTTAGAGAGATCTTAAGCGTAAAATTAAATTAGGGTCAAACAAACCGTAACACCGAGTTAGACACCCCCTTGAGAGACGAATGTTGCCGACCGCTTGCTTCTCTAGTTTTACCAACTTTAGTTACAACTGCACGATAGCAATACACAGCGGTCTAAGGAGCCACACACAAACCTCAACCAAAACGCCACTCTATAGCCACAAATAAACACAAACTAAACACAACTCACCTACTCTCTTCTATTCTCTTGATTGACTGGTCTGGGGTCTTGCTACAAACAAGCAGCTGCTGGAAGAGGGTAGGTGAGCCGTGTTTAGTCTCTTTGCGAAAGAAATCAGGCAAAGCTAAAAGGATGTTTAGTGGCTAGTGCTATGGCTAGGACCCTGTATTTCCTGTTGATGAAGTTAGGTGCTGTTCTGAGCATTATTGGTGGCTATAGAGTGGCGTTTTGTTTGAGGTCTGTTTATGGTCCCTCAGACTTCTGTGTATTGCTATCCTGTGGTCGTTACTAAAGTTGGTATAACTAGAGAAGCAAGCGGTCAGCAACATTCATCTCTAGAGGGGGTGTCGAGAGATGTTTGACCCTATATTAATTTTACACTGGAATATCCCTTTAAATACCATTTAAAAGATATCAAAACTCACATCAACTGTAAGTTGCCTTTGTTTTTGTATTATGCTAGTTGTACATAATTAGAAAAAAATGTCTCAGCAGTTGCTAAACCAATTCAAACTTGGCTAAATGAGCTTTAAGTATAAAAGGATGATTTTTTTTTCTATTAAAAAAGTAGCTTCTGAATTATTAAGACAAATAATGTTAGTCATAAACCATTTCACAGCCTCGGAGCGACTCAAGCTAGCTTCTTTCCTGTCTCTTTAAATCCGACCGTTAGCTTTTCTTGTAACGGTAAAGTGTGTCACTTCCGGCCGCCATCGTTGTTTACTTTCCGGAGTTGAAGCAGAGTTTAAAACTTCAATTTTTTTGTTCAAACTACATGTGGAAATATTTTGTGGAGTACAAACGTCCTTAAAAACACCGGTAAGTTTCGTCGAAGCATTCGCTGTTAGCTAATGATTTTCCTGAAACCATGCTAGCTTGAATATGACCTAGCTAAAATGGTGAACAAACCAGTGCCTTTGAGAGGCTGTGATATAGAAAATGCATCTCTGAGTTAGCTTTGGTGGTAATAATTGAGCATTTTGTGGCTCAGAAGACAGCAGAGTTAGCTTTACTTTATTCTTTTTTACTTTAAGTAGAAGCTGCTCTTTACTTGTTGTGTACATGACTAAGATGGATATTCATGAATGTTGTGTTACCTTGAATATGGTGAAACAGGACCTCTGGATTCTCACTTACCATAAACAGTGGGTAATTTTTAACAATAAAGAGCTAAATTAATGCTTACAATACACTTAAAGCTTTTGTTTGAGTCCATTTTTAACAATCTAGCTTGTTATCTCAATTTTAAGTTTGGGGTTTAGTCTTAACTCTTGAATTGGTTTATTAGTTTCCTGCTTTACATCGAGGCGTTTCTGAACCTTCTGAGAAAAAGAGGCTGTTAACAACAAGTGAAGTGAAACCTACGTATTATCAAAAGCAAGCCTTGGAAATCTGCCAGTACACCCATACACTGAGTCAGTCTAAATCTGGATAAAAATAGGTTCATTTATTTACATAAAACATTTACAAAATACATCTTTCATTGACATGCAGCAATGTGTTATGAGAAATGATGGTTTTTAAGAAAGTCAGCAAACAGTAGGCCTTTTAAACGTGTTGTTCCTTGAATTGAGAGGGACGCAATCACATCCAACCAGGTCTTACAACTCTCCAATGTAATAGGCACATTGAGCTTTTAGACCGTGCAGTGCTTTATATTCTCGCTGTTCCATCGTTTCTGTTCCAGCTCCTGCGGGATCTACAGAGCAGCTTAGGAGCGTGCAACGACAAGCTCAACGGATGTCAAAACAGTGACCGGAAAAAGGAGTGAACAGGTAAAAACACAGGTGGGAACAGAATACTGTATGCTATAGCAGCAAGTCTGTGTCATTAGCTACGTGAGGTTAAGTATGTCTAAAGTAAAGCTATGATTATTAAGTATACAAAAGATGATAATGCCTTTAGTTCCTTTTTAAGGCAGTGAATTGAGTTGAATTCAGTCACTATGTTTACATGCACATTACAACCTGAGTTCTCTGAGTGACAAGATTAAGGTAATAACAACAGGAAGCACGGGCATACTTAAAGTTCATATCATACATTGACACCAATAAAGTCACAAACATACTAATGCTGGTTATCAATTCTTAGGCCAATTACATATTGAACTGGACTCTTCAGACTGCTCTAATCTGAGATAAACAAGTAATTATTGTGCATGTAAATGTAGTTCTGTACTTAAACAGCCTACTCAAGGCATTTTTCATTGTGTCTTCACAGTTTCCATACAAATGCATAGTGTAGTTTAGCAGATAACCTCTGGAGCACGATCTATCCGAAAATATTGACTGGAACCAGCTCACGAATTAATATTAAGCTAGTCGTCCTCTAAAGACCATGGGCTTTTGTCTATAAAAACAGTGTGAGAGGGTTGTTTTGGAGTAAAAGTATCCACTCTATGTTTGTCTACCAGCCGTCCTGAGTCGTGATCAGCTTTAAACTACCTCGTATTACCGTCAGCGTGATGTGCCATGGTGCTTTTTGTAAGTGCATGTTGTTTTTTTTTGTATATTATTCCCTTATAAAACATCTTCTCAAGTGGCCTCATCTTCATCGTCCTCCCACTGAGAACACCTCCAGTGCGTCCGCAGCCACACTCGGCTCAAGTGAGCTCAAGTGTCTTTTAACAAAAGTCCGGCGTGTTTTTTTTGAGAGTCTCGGTCTCAAGATTCAAACTCGCTGTCGCTGCTGACGGAGATATCCGGGGTGGACGCTCCCGTTCCTCTGCGCTCGTTCTCCGTGCTGCAGTCGCTCGCCTCGGGGCTGCCCAGGTGACGAGGGGAGGGAGGCAACATGTGGGGGTGGTGGTGGCGGCGCTCTTGGTGGGAGCCGTCCGGTGAGCTCTCAGAGGGGAGGAGGGATGGGTCTTGCTGCAGTCTGGAAAGAGACACATAAGACCTACATTTAGTCTTCTTTTTACGGGATGTTATGTGACAGATTTATGTATATATTTTCCCATTTTTGGGTTACCTGTTCTTTGCAGATGCGGCGCGGTCTCTCTGCCTTCGGTTCTTGAACCAGTTGCCGACCTGTGTGGGCGTGAGTCCCGTGGCCTGGGCGAGGTGGCGTTTCCTGGACGGGTTGGGGTATGGATCTTGGAGGTACCACTCTCTCAACAAACTGCGAGTTCTTTCCTGGAGGACACATCAGAGAAACATTCGGTTATACACTTTAGTTTGTTTTTATTTTGGCGCTCCTTGTATCCGTCTCAAAAATAGTGACACAGAAATATTCACTCTTTTTATCTGCTTTTCCAGCTCTTCTAAAACCCCACACTGGAGCTTTAAGTTTACAGATATTCTTCTATCCTCCTGAGGCCTATCACCATATGGTGTTTTGATATCATCCTATTAAACCACAATAATCTTGCCACTCTCATATAATGCTCCCTATAATCTTATCAGACTGGATTTCAAAATAGATAATCACAATGTGCATCGAAGGAATACACCGCAATATAGATCCACTAAATGGGATCAGGTTAAGGGGCTTAATAAGCTGCTGGAGAATACAATGAAACGCTACCTCACCCTGCCACAAGATGGAGATCACACACATTTGCACAGCCAATTCATTTACTGATGTGTAATCTTGTAAAATGCCACTTCTTAGTGATTTTATCTCTTTCTTTTTAATTTAATCGCCTGTTTGAGTCAGGATGTGTAGAATATTTTCCTATCTTAATGCTAAAGATTGTAACAAATTGAGGTTTTTAGATGATTAAAACGCAAATAAAAGCAGCTTATTTAAAGAGCTAGAAGACATTTATAGCAATGTCTTTGCTTTTTTCAAGATTGGGTGTAACCTAAATCAAGATTATAGAGATTCTGTAAGGTTATAGCACAAACACCGAGGTGTTCAAAGGAGAAAAATAATATTTAAGTGACAGTTTTGAAAAAGAGGAATACTGGGATTCATTGAAATGGAATTAATAAGTGTCAAATATCAGAGAAAATTCAAGTTTCAGCTCCACTAAGATGTTAAAAGCACTTGTCACCTTCTCTCTCGGTGTTAAAAGCAGGAATACCCTTGTCACTTGTGTAAAGTTTTCGCCTGTTTCATCAGTCCTCTGTGCTTTAAGCGGTTCAGTAGAGTTTCAAGCATTAGGTAGGAGGATAACCGGCTCTGAATATGATCACCTTAAGAGCTCAAAGAGCAGCAGCAGCAGGTTAAAGAGCACTTTAAGAGCTGCTGATGGCCCAGAGTCCAGATTAAAAACCCCTGTCTTATAAAATAACTGACTTCAAACGCGTGTCCGCACTTAAACACTTATAAAAACGCGTTTTTACCTTAAAGCAGTGCGTCTTCTGCTCGCCGTCCCAGATAGTACGGGGTAGGGGGAACTTCTTGCGGATCCGGTACTTCTCCACCGGTCCCAGCGGCCTCCCCCGCAGCCTCTCCGCCTCCCGGTAGTGCGCGTCCAGCCACAGGTCCTGCAGCTTGGCGTGCGACTCGCGCGTAAACCTGTAGCTCTGCAGGATCTGGTAGAGAGCCTCAAAGTTCCCCCCGTGAAAGGCGACCAGCGCCCGGGCTCGCATCACGGACTCGTGTCGGTTCAGCGCTTCTCCGGCGGAACCGGGGACGGCGGCCGGCAGGGACCAGAGGAACCTGCCGAGGCGCTCGATGTCGCCGGTTTCCTCCAGGTTCTCGCACACCCGCGCGACCTGATCCGGTGTGAACATGGGCAGCGGGAACATCTCGGCTGTCCTGCTTCTCAGTTTGCTGACCGAGGGAGTTAGGAAACGCTCAAAAGGCGCGTGAAATGATGCATCCACCCGCGCGTGAAGCTCCGCTGCGCCGCTGACTTTTAATTTTTGGCAACGGCTGAAGTTTATTGACACTTTTTTTCATGTACCTGCCGCCGCTCTTATGTAACGGTGGCCGTCTCGGTGTCTTAAATGTCTCAGAAAAGCGCAGCGGCGGCGGCTCCAACTTTCCAGAGAGGCTCGAGCCGAATAAAGAAAGAGGACAAGAAGTCAAACGGTATTTATAGCTAGATACAATTAGCATCTCTGTGGTTGTTTTGAGAAGGATTATACGTCCTGGCCATTAGCTTCTTAGTGGGGGGTAGTGTGTACAGAGGTGACTGGCTGATCAGCTTGTTTGGCTTAGCCTGAGGATACATTGACTGCCAGGATGACTTCAGTGAGCAAACAAGCAACGATAGGTTATTTAATAGGTCAGATCTGGAGATGGAGCCCAGCCTGGGGAGGAGGGCATCATGGGAGAAAACGTCTCAGGTTTATGACAGCAGGAAGAGCCAAAGATGATGCATGAAAAGGAGCGCTGTCAATTCTCCCTTTTTTTTTAAACAGGAGTCTTAACTTAAAAGCTCCAGTTACTCCGCCACACACTTGGATGGCTCTTGGTCATGCAAACCAGTATCACATGTGCTCCGACATTTGGCTGAGAGGACACTTGAGGACATAAAGCTGCAGCGATCCCCTCCCGGCTAATACCCCTGTAATTAAAACAGACATGTTGCACCTATAGGCGATATTCTAGAGACCTCTGAACTGGACTGAAACGCCCCGAGACATTAATGCATGACGGCGCAACTCCAGGACAAGGAATTAATGATGTTCTGCTCGCTTCAATCCCTCTGATCTGAGCAGCTCATTAATCAGTCTCAGAACAAATTTCTTATTAATCAGGTTAAGGATCTTGAAAGCATCTGTCAACTTTATTTGCAAACATGGGAAATTTCCTCTGCGAATCATAGCCTGAAGGAGGAATATCCCTGCCATCAGTGAGGCCAGAGCTGAATGAAGACTTTATGGATATTAGCGTGACATTGTTCTCTCTCAGACGAAGCTAATTCCCTGCAGTGAATATGGGGCTTTGCATAAAGGTTGCAGTCAGGTGAAGGATGATCCATCGACAAATCCGTCTACTATACAGATATGAGCAGACCAGACAGAGAATGCTAATCCTTTAGATTCAGGAGTCTGATATGAAGCTGTGATAGTGATGTTTACTTATATTCAGCTGTTACATTTTACTTTAACCAGATAGATATATTTGTTATTGCACTATAAGAAATCTTTAACTTCTTTTCAGAGAGCCGGCTTTATTGATTTATTTGACTTGGGCTGAGATTCAACTCGTTTAAACTCGCAGACGCAATAAGAGTTTCCAGAGCTTCAGCAGTTCCTCACCTGAAGGGCGTTTAAAGATTGTATCCTCAGAAAAGACTCACTGCCTGGAATACAAAGATCTGCAACAACTCTGTACATCCTGATATATTTAAAAATGGCAACAGATTAGTAAAGTTCGATGAAGTATTAAGGTCACATTAAGAAAAAAAAAAGACTTCGAGATTAGAGTCAATCACTTACAAGAATAATGTCATTACTAAAGAGAATAAAGTAGTAATAAAATCATTATTGATGAGAATGAAGTCATTACTAACGAGAATAAAGTAGTAATAAAATCAGAACTTACGAGGAGAAAGTTGGAATAAAATCATTACTTACAAGAATAAAGTAGTAATAAAATCATTACTTATGAGAATAAAGTCATTATAAAATCATCATGAGAATAAAGTCGTAGTCTACTTAAATCATTACTTACGAGAATAAAGTGGGAATAAAATCATTATTTATGAGAATTAAGTCATATGCCACTAAAATCATTACTAAAGAGAATAAATTCTGAATAAAATAATTTCTTACAAGAATAAAGTAGTTATGAAATCATCACTTGCGAGAATAAAGTCGTAGTCTTCTTAAATCATTACTTACGAGAATAAAGTGGGAATTAAATAATTTCTTACGAGAATTAAGTCATATGCCACTAAAATCTTTACGAATGAGAATAAAGACAGAATAAAATCACTTCTTACAAGAATAAAGTTGGAACAAAATTATTACTTATGAGAATAAAGTCATTGGCTACTAAAATCATTCCTTACGAGAGTAAAGTCAGAATAAAGTCCCTATATTCTAACCTGCTGTTTAAGATGACAGTGGTTGAAATGAGAGCCATAGAGCGTTTTGTGAAAATGTACTTAAATATAAGTTTCTCAAACAGGGAGATACTTCATCTTTTGGCACATCAGCACCACATTATCATAAGTAGCCTATCATAATGATTTTATAATGACTTTTTTTATAACGACTTTATTCTCGTTAGTAATGACTTTATTCTCATAAATTTATTACTTTAATCTCAAAGTACTAGATTTTATTTTTCTTAATGAGGCCCTAATACTCTGTTGTAGTAAAGTGACTGGAGATTAAAAAAGAACTGCAAAGGATTCTGGGATGTCATCATCTATGTATGTGCATCACATAATTAGAAGTTAAAGAGAATAAAGCGACAAGACTGAACACCAATCCAGGGTGACCAACATCAGCACTGCATTAAAAAACAGACATGACTCTGCAGTGGAAATCACTGCACAGGTCCAAAATCACATCCAAAAACATTGTGTGGAAACAATGTCTCTGATGGTATGTTACACATCTTGGAAGGCATCATTAATACTGAACAACATATACAGGGTTTTGTGCGACTTACACTGCCACTCAGACAATGACTTTTTCAAGAGGGACCTTGCAGGACCAGGTCTACTTGGTTCCCAAACATTTCTAAAGAGTTGGGTTGAGGTGTGGGGGAAGTTTCAGATCTGCTTCTGTTTCTGTAGAGCTGAATTTCTGCCTGTAGAGTGACTTGAGGAGCAGTAAGTAATCATCTGATACGTGTTAGATCCTGAATCTAGATTAAAATACCAGGTGGGATCTGTGTGCTGATGGAAGAGGGGGGTAGGTGTGACTGTGTGTATTACAGTCTCCAGCACAGAAGGGGAGAAATGAGCTCAGTGGAGATCATGCTCACAGTTAATCTAACCCTTACAAGTTTCAGACACTTCGCGCCACTGACCGCTACACACACACACACACATATACACACAGACGGGCTCACCTTCATTACAAGAAAAAACCCCCAACCCAATCTGTTTAACACTTTGAGGGCAGACTGAACTGAAATCTGCTTAAGCTCTCCCAAGCCGTTAGAACAGGATGAATGATAAGATGGTGATGGGATGAACAGATGATGGATCTGTTTGGAGAAGGGCAGGGGGTCAGGGGGGCTAATTGTGCTCTCTATAATTGTAACCTCAGTTCCACTAAGGTAGGTTAAAAAAAGTAGGTTGATTTATGAGGAATATATACTCATCTTTAATTCAATCTCAGCAGTTTATCACCTCAATCTCATCACCTCTTCTCTTAGCAGCACTCTGCAAATGTTTGGGAACCATGGTAACCAGTTACTGGATTTTGAAAGTGAGATAGTGTTTGATTTTTGCTTGATACAGAAGGTTTTCTTTGCCCAGTTAGCACTGCAGGTACCCCAGATTAGCACCTAGACTCTTGTACTACAGAGCCACGCTATTTCCATGGATCTAAGTAGTTTAGTATCCCCTTACTGTATTATACAAAGTCTACTCCCTGGACAAACTGTGTTCACAAGTTATGTTTTGGGGATTTAATGTTGAGTCAATGTGGTGGTTTCCACTGCAGAGTAATGGCCAATTGTTGTTTTTTTTTGCCTTCTTTTCCACAAAGATTTCTTCAGACTCTGGATTTCTTCATGATATAAAGTTCAGTAGATAATAAAATTGCCAAACTCAGTTCTTCATCAATTCATTATTGAACTATTTCAATCCCACCTTGAATTCTGAGATACTCCGCTTGTTTGGTATGCCATTTTTTAACCCAATCATATTCCTAACCTGTTGCAAATTAACCCATTTGGTCAAGAAATCAAACGAATCAGTCAAAAATGTTTCTTTTTTTAATGTTTTTTTGTTGTTGTTGTTGCTGGCATAAAATTAAAAAAGAACACAAGTCTTTCAGTTTCATGGTGGACTTTATATTTTTATAGAGGCTTAAAATGATTTGCAAAACACTAAATTCTGACAAGACTCAGCAGTGGAAGTCGCCACAAACTTCTATGGAATTGGGGTTTATACCAGTGAAACTCACATTCCAGATTTCCCGGCAACTTCTTTGAGATCCGAATCTTGAATCTTGGACTTATGGTGCATTCGAGTTACCTCAGAAGTCAGATGATGGAGCTGAAAATGACTTCGCACCTGAGTTCCCAGCGTTTCAGTGAGTAAGTCGGAAAAAAGCAAAATCATAGGCGGAAACAAGATGGCTACATCTATGAAAAGTTATGTTAGCTCTCGCCTTATAATCAGACAATAAGATGGCTACATAACTTTCGTAGATGTAGCCATCTTGTTTCTGCATTTGATTTCGCTTTTTTCCGACTTGATAACTGAAACGCCAGTAACTCGGGTGCGACGTCATTTTCAGCTCCGACTTCTGAGGCAACTCGAACGCAGCATTAGTTTGTAAGTGTTAGCCTGGTAGAAAGACTTGTGACTCGTCTCTCTTGTATCTTACCTCTTTCCACTTCAGTCTCCTCTCTGTTTTAGCTGCTTGTTGGTATTTTTTGCTTGTCACAGTGATCATATGAGGAAATTGGACGGATCTGTTGTTACGTGTCTCGTGTGGTAACAGGTGGTTGGTGGAATCATCTCCCTGTTTTGGTATAAAATAATGTGAACCCCTTTGCTGGTTTAATTGTGATTTTTTTGGTTTGTTTGGAAAGAACAGGAGAATATACTCAACCTGTAAGCAGCTACAACACACACAGACGAAGAAGGTGGAACCGCACTTGGCATAATTAATTAGGGGCTTAAACAGA